GCAGACTCCTGGGAAAAAGCTTAGCTAGCCAACGTTTTGTACAAACAACAAGAAGTTATTGCTGTTTTCATTCTTGTACTTCTTGGGAGGTAAATGTTTTTATAAGGACAAACCCCTATTTTTCTCTTAAAAATCCTTTAAGAAACATAATATGTTTGGCAAAGACATTTAAAACACAACACATGTAGAAATTCAAATGCATTCACACAGTCAGAGAAACTCCAGACACAATAATAGACCGCCCCTGGTCAGGTCTCTGGTGGGGGGACTTGGTTCAGAGGTAGACAATTAGGGAGTGAATCCAGTGAACTGCCTTGACCCCCTGTGTCTGGTGTCTGAGGGAGTCTGGAATATTTGGAGACTGTATAATTGGTTGCTACGCTTCCCTGAGGCTTTGTGTTTGCAAATGAATTTGCTGCCTCACTGAGGACAACGACCAGGCCTCCCTGAAATAAGAAGCTACAAAAACCAAGGTGGTGAAAAATCGTGCCAGAAGAGTGGTCCAGGCAGTGCTTATATTTAGATTATTGCTTTCATATGATGTGTGGAAGAGAAACACAAGACCCAGAGACACAAAACATGCCCTAAAATCGGTTTCGGGTTTTCCTAGAGCTCACACTTCTTCCTGGACTTCTGGACACATGCTGCCCTCCTGTGGTCAGATAGTAGAATACAAGGGAATAGAGGCCTCTACCAGAAGGATACCGTGAAGCCAATAGGGATTGTATTAATTTTTTTGCATATGTTTCCTGGAGAGCTTTTGATTTATGGAACAAAGTTCCTTGAAAAGAAGGAAGGAAGGAAGAGAAGGGAAGTAAATAGCAAAACAAACAAAAGCCCAGAAACAACAAAATAACTTTCAAAAAGTCCCTATTTCCACCTATACAGAGCCTTCTTTTTTGCTTAACCCTCACTTGAGGACATGCTTTGATTTCAGAGAGAGGGAAAAGGAGGGGGAGCAAGAGAGGGAGAGAAACTCCAACATGAGAGAAAAGGCAAGGGTTGCCTTTTGTATATGCTCTGACCAAGGATCGAACAGGCAGGCGGCCCTAAGGTTTTAGGGGAACACGTACCAACCAACTGAGCCACACTGGCCAGGGCCACAGAGCCTTTTTTCATCATCCAAACAAGGAGTGACTCCTCCCTCCACAGTCCAGTACAAAAGCAACACAATTGGAACAGTTTAGTGAGACGCTCCTAGTACTAGCAACTGTGTTAGGTGCCAAAGATTGAAAGCTGAAAATCGCATATTCGTGGCTCTTAAAACAACTCAGATTTAATTGGGGGTATAAATGGGGGTGAACAGAAGAAGTAATTTTAACATACATGGAAAATGACAAGATAGGTCCAGGGAATGCTTTGGGAGAACAAAGATGTTCTGTCCATCTCTTGAAGGAGATTCCGGCTCTGCTGAGTCTCAGTATGAGCAACATTTACCCACGACAAAAACAGCCACGCGAAGCAGAGTCCGCACCTTACTTTCTAGAGCTGCATTAGATGAAGTAGCGGCCTCGTGTCCACTGCAAGGTGTGACCCCTCTCCCAAATCCCATGTTTGTTTGTCTTTAGTTCTATAAGCTGTTGAAAGCTAACCTCACATAGACGTGGGAAACCAGAGAGAAATTTTAAAGATGTAAACAACCTGCTATGATCTGCACATTAAATCAAGCTGGAAACAACAGGTAGGGTAGACAGGTGCTCCTGAGTTAATGATGGGATTTGGTCCCAAGACGCCCATCGTGAGTTGCGAACATTGAGAGTAAAACGTGCACTCACTACACCTAACCTACCAAATGTCACAGGTCAGCCTCACCTTACGCGGGCTCAGAACACTTACATGACCCTGTGGCTGGGCACAAGCAGCTCACACAAAGCCTATTCTGTAACAGTGTTGAGTAGCTCCCGTCGTTATTGAATACAGTACTGAAAGTGAAGCCCAGAATGGTCGTATGGGTACTCACCACCAACACACAGCTGACAGCACCCCGGCACGCAGACGGGCAGACAGGAGGGGACGTCAAAACACTCAACAATATCCGAAAGACGCAGGCAACACAGGGCAGCCACCCTCGGGACTGCGAGGCGGACGGGGAGCCGAGACTGGCTGCTGCTGCCGCCCAGCATCGCGAGCCGGGGTGAAGATCAAAACCCAAAACTCAAAGAACGGATTCCACGGAATGCCTGTTGCTGTCGCACCATCATGAAGCCCAAACATCGTAAGTCAAACTGCCCTGAGTGGGGGACCGGCGGCGTTTAAAGAGGGCACGCACGACTGGCGGTAGTTCATTTAATGAGGACGCCGCGGTGAGATGGACGCGCTTTGCTTAATGAAGATTTCAGGTGAGATGGTTTCAGAAGTGATGGAGAAGAGAGGACAGGTGTGAAGGATTCGACATGGAGGGAAAGGAAAGCACGGGGAGCATGAAGGCCATGAACCCATTACAATCCCACACAGCACCTGTCACCACGCTGGGGACACAGGAGCAGGTCCTTATGGAAAGACGAGCCCGGGATACTCCGCGATCTGTGGAATCCGGCTGGCGTTCGCCCTCCTGACCGCCGTTTCTCTGGCTCCGGGCCTGACCTGTCCTACTGTCCTTCAAGTTCGCCGAGAGCAAGGGACGTATCTCGTCTCCACGGCCCTGGGGATGGCTTTGGAGAAAGCACGCTTTTCCAACTGTGAAAAAGTCTTCGTGAAAATAAATGAGCACGTTTCGTGTTCTGTGTACTTCGTTGTTGAAGTGCCCAGCAGAGGGAGCTGATTTCAGAGGGGCTTAACGACTGTCCAAAATACACTGAAATGAAGGTAATGGGCTGGAGACCGAAGTGGTCTACAGAAGAAAAAACTAATGTTTGGTTTTTCCTTTCTCTATCAAACAGAAAAAAAAAATATGTCACACCTTACAAGTTTTCTATAAGTTAGCCTCAGACTTTACAGGGCTGCAAGACATCCGAGCTGTTGTCGATTGTTGTATTTCCCGAGAGCGAGATGACTTTTCTGTTGACTTATCAGAGTATTAAAAGTGGAATTACAAAGGTAAATACACATTCATTACTTTGCCTTTTTTCCAAGCTTTAATTATTTTTCTATATACTTTCCTATAGGATCTGTAAGAATACTTAATAGGCATTTAAAAAAATTTGAATTTATATCCTGTGGCTGTACAGAAATAGATTTGAGGTGGTCCAAATTCAAAGCAAAATTAAAGTAAATTATATGTAAAATAATAAAATCAATACATTAATAAGAAATTTGAAAAAAATTGATAAGATGCTGTAATTGAATTTTAGGTTTGTTCATGCATTTCTAGGAAGTCAGGGCAAAATCATTTACACAGTAAGTTATTTATCTCTTCTCATAAAGGAAGAAACATCAGGTTCTGAGGTGGCTGGCATTTTGTTTTATTTCTTCCTCATCCTTCTAGATTCTAAAAAAAATGTGTCATATAGAGTTGCACAGAAATGACAGATGCCATGGCCCTTGTTACCACATTTTTACGGTAATTACAGGCAACGATTACCAATGACTATTTGCTACGGAATTTTTGATCAAAACCCAAGACTTCATGAGTGCATCTGCATGTGAAAAATATGCCATTGTGATAAACAGGTTCTTATTTGGAACATTTTCAGTGAGAAAAATGCCTTCACAATTCACCCTCATATTTCACGGGAAATGACAAAGTTGCTTAAATAAAATAAGCATTCCCCATCAACCACTTGGCACACATCTCTACGGACGTTAAGGGAAGATTTCATCCTTCATCCTTCCGGGGCAGGCCAGCTGCTGGGGACACGGCCGCACCTCTGTGACTGCCCTTGCTCCCCAGTTGGTCCCAGGCAGAGCTGTGTCCTGGGCCCACCGCAGGAGCCCTCAGTGTGGGCTTTGTCTGGACCTTGAGGGTCCACTGTCTCACTGTCACTGTGGTGGAGGGTGTCTGCCCTCCCCCTTATCTGCTCCAGAAGTCACTGAGGTACTTTCCTCTGGAGCTAGAAGTCGTCATGGAGTTGTTGACAGAACAACATATTTATGTTTTACTCCAGCAATGGAGTTCATCAAAACAGAGCTTTTCAGGTATAAAATTAGACAGAACCCATAACAACGATGGCCTATGTCACGGTGTACGATATACAGGCACCTTTCCCACGGAGGAGCAGTCGGTGGTAGACCTTCATCCAGCAGTGTCGACAGCCACGTCCTGGGGGCCAGAGCTCTCTCCTACTCGCCTCTGCTTGAAAGAGTTGCCACGGCATGAAGCTGGGTCCTATACACGGGTAACAGAACACTGCCAGGAACTCACGAGCGACACTTGTTGCTAGTTAAGAGGTTACAATGGAAAGAACCACTTTCTTTGCATGGATTTTTTTCGCACACTGCCAAATACTGTAATTGTTTTTAATAGTTCTTAACAGTGACTTACCAAGTGGGACCTCAGCTCGTGCCATGTTGGTTCTTCCTCTGTCTTGCGTCTGCAGAGACTGTTCTCTTCACTAACCACTTTGAGGGGAGATGTAGACATTCCAGGCCGTGGGAACGGGCACCCACACAATGAATGCTCATGTCGTTGTTAGCTTTTTACATCTAGTGGCTCTACCAGGTAGAGGAAAAGTGTTAGGTGGATAAAGGAAAAGAAGTGATATCTAGAAGAAGGGTGGCACATAGCTGGCAAGATTCTCTACCAAACTGTCCTTGGAGCAGGCATGCTAAGGGGCATCGCTCTCCTTCTGAGTGGGAGTCCGCCTGGGACCCCACACCGAGGAGCCCCCGGTAGGTAGCCGAAAAACTTCAGAGTAGATGGATGAGAAGAACCCTGCCGACCACTCTGTGTTCTGTTCCCTGGTATGATAATGAGAGCCCTGGCTTGCCTCCCACCTTGTTTTTCAAAAGTAGGTTAAGAGTTCAGTTAAAAACAACAAAAAAACCCACCTATGAACAATGCAAGATAAAGTTTTTAAAAATGCAGCTTGTTTTATTTTATATAAACTAAAACACCAGAGCTCATTGATGCCTATATTCAATACATAAATTATAAAATAACCATTCATAAAACTTTACATACAGTAAGTTGATTCCAATCTCTGCGGTATTACATACAATACATGTACAGGTCTGGTGTACTTCAGAGGATCATTCTGGTGCAACTCAGTCCAGTTACGTTTGTCTTCCATTCGTAAACAAGCACTGAAGCAATACATGGAGTCATGCTAATGTGATGCGGAGGGAGACCCCAGCTTAGGCAGCGGATGGGAGGAAAGCTCTGAGAAACAGGCCCCCTGGCTGCCTGCATCCAGTAGACTTCTGGGGAATGAATGTCTTCAAACACGTTGGCTCTTCACTTGAGCCCCCACGGGATCAGATCTCGAAGGTTAAAACATGCATGAACCCATCTGCAAATGGGAATTGTAGCTGATAAAAATATGAGACTTTGGGCAATATTAATACTGTAGATTGTGCTGGACTTGCTGTTGCTCTTCCCAGAAAACCACTGGCATCACTGCGAGTCCAGTTAACGGACTTGCTTCATTGGAAAGCCAATGAGTTCTTGGCCTCAGTCAACAAAAGGGCGTAGCTTTAATGGATAGAAGGTGGGGAGGAGGGACAGAGGCAGGCAAGGAGGGGAAGAGCAGACACCAGGTGTTGAACAAAAACATGAGCTACCCAGCAGCATGAGAAAATCCCCTCCCATAAGTCCTCAATCCTGGGACAGAAGTACACATTTAGTGAGCACTCGCACCATCGTACTATGTACAGAATATATATGAGTAGATATGTACATCACATATTTATAAAAGTGTTTGGACTTTGATCTGCCTCATCATGGTTAGTGGGGGGAATAGGCACATTTTGTGAGCTGTCAATCAAATATGAGTGATTGCTGTTATTAATGGGGGCTGGGTATCTGCTTGTGGGGAATGGCATCGTCCACAACTTAGCCAGTTAGTGGAGTCTTGATTGTGGGCAAAGTTGGCCTACGAGTTGTTTATCTGCACCACTCCCACCCTGCAGGACTTCGATGTCACTAGGAGGGAAATACCAGCGTGGATGCAAAGACCTCAATGCAGAAACAAAAAGACCAAAACCGGGAACTTCACCTAATGAACCACTTGTACTTCTGAGTCTGATATTCTGTGTTGAATACAGCACATTATAATCCTTCTGACTTTTGCCACATGGCTCCTTGAAGTGTATCTTTAGCAATTTCAATTAAACATCAGACTCAACAATAGAAGCTTCATTTAGGATGAACTAAACTGCCAAACTAAAGACAGCAAAGGAATGCGCATGTTGCCCTGCCCAGCACTCCCATGCGGCTGCAGATCAGCCTTCCATGGTCCGAAACCTCTTGCTGATGTGCCAGAAATGCATTCTCAAGACAATACATCACATGGAAATGACAAGGCAATTGAACAGAATGGAAGCTTTCATCCCTCAACACCACGTGACCTACTTTCTTCCTTCGGAAGGCAGAAGTCCTCATGAAAGGCTTGTGCCCATTCTGGAAGCATGAACTCATTACATAAACAGCCATCTAAGATTCGTTTGGATTACTGATTTCTCAAAAGGTATATTGAACTTTTCAAATACAGTAGATAAGTATATATATTTTTTTTCTGTGCCACTCTTTGACAGATCAAAAATGCAATATTTAAAAATAAAATGTCTATGCTTTCCACTTTGATGTAACATCACACAAATAATCCAATTATTTAAACATCAACACAAAACTGATGGATATTATTCTTAGTTTCCATAACAACCTAGGCAGCTTACAAAGACTTGCTTCATTTTAAAACAATAAACTTAGGAATTACATTGAAGACACTGAATGTATGTAAATTACACAATGGTTTTACAGAAAAAGTTGACAATAAATTGGCAAAAAAGAACAAATGTGCCAGGTATTTATTTTAAACTGAAAACATAAGAAGTTGAGATAAAATACTGTAGCACAAATTACTTGGCACAACTGTATTATTTCCTGTGTTATTTGTGGAGAACAAATGCCCCCTTTGTCCTCCAGTGGCGCCCTGCGAGCCCTCTGTATCTTCCCTGCCGTCCTGCAGGACCACGGCACCTGCGTGAAGTCACTTGTGAATGGAAGAAAAACCAAGCAGTATTCTTCCAACCCTCAGATCTCAGTATTGGCCATCATTTTACTTCCATGACATAGGTGAAAGGGACCATACTTATTTTCAGCAAATTCTAGTGTTTCCAAAAAATAAAACTTGGACGCATTAAAAAACATCAACTTAGTAATAGATGATTTCTAGTATTATAGCCAAATATAGTCTTCCATTTTTCCCCTTTTTATCATAAAAATTTTCCTGTCTGAAAATACTGAGCTACATTGGGACTTTTATTTGATCAAAAACTATCTTTTAATAGTTTATCTTTATCCAGCTAGCTTTATTTTCCAAGAGATGAATATTTTAAGAATTAAGTTAATCAACCCTGAAAAATGCTGTTCTGATTGCTAACTCACTGGGTTAGTTAAGATGCAGAAATTAAAGCTCAGAGTGGGGATTATCCACCCTTTGTAAGCACATCGAACTCTCCACGATCAATGAGATGCTCTTTCATTACTGCTGGACATTATGCACAAGGGCAGCATTCCTTTCGATAGGGTCCCTTTCCATGGATCCATGTGCAAGACTGTGACATAGTTACAATTTCGCAAATGATTTTTATAGTTGTGAAAATGGGTATCAGAGAGATGTACCTATACAAATATGTAGCCCTACCCAATAACCATTTTGAGTGTCATGAGTAAGACCAGGTAAAAATATCACCTTTTAGCTTAAAATCTAGAAAAATCTGCTGATCTCCTGGATGTCAATCAGCAAGAGAGACCCCTCCTTGTGTGTTTGCCCGAAACCTGTCTAAAGCTGCTTAGACTCATCCTGTCACGGCTCTTGTGTGACTTGTGTGTGATGCAATGACATGTACGCAGACAGTGTGCATGGTTCAACCACACTATTTTTACAACTCTTTCTAGTCATTCAAACCATGGTCAGTGCTTGGACATAAAATTCCAACTGCACATTCCTTGGAGGGGAAAGCAAGAGGAAGAGAAGGCAAGGAGGGTTGGTGGAGAAGATGGAGTATGAATTTGCTCAGATGGACCCTGGATGGGCAAAGAGCAATGAAAAGAGAAACGCTGAAGATACAGAAGAGTGGCTTACCCTGTCCTGTTTCTTCTGAGATTTGAAAGGGTGGGGTCCCAGACTACAGGGGCACCCTTGCTCACATTGCCTACACAACGAACCTACCCAACTAAACAAAGAGTCCAGCGGAAGGACAGTTATTTTGTGTATTCCCAGTGGGGCATGTCACTGGACCTTGCCCCCAAATGAAAAGGGTGATCAGATCAATGGTGATGCTATTTACTGCCAGCCTTAATCTTACACCTGGCTGTCCTCTGATCACATGGAGTTTTGTATCACGCATGTGCCAGCAAGGGGGAGAGCTAGGGGATCCTCATTCATCACTGAAATCACGCATTCTTCCATCTTGCTCAATAGCATGAGCTGATCTACTGACTATAGGTTATTGGAGATCCTGGCTCTGGATCTCTCAGGCTTTATTGCTAGTGATGTCCCAGGTAGTTTGATGGGGAAGCTTCAGAGCTATGCTGCTTAGATCCCACCAAACTGAAGCCTATTTTATTACACAAGGGACTCTTTTTCTCAACGATACAAGAATGTCAAATAATATAGCAGTCATGGTCATTACAAAGCACTTTATGCTACATTAAGCACCTCTTGTTCCAGAAATTGCAAAAAAGAAACCTTTATGAAAAAGCATTTTAACCTCATTTTGCAGATGAGGAAACTGAGGCACAGAGAGGTTAAGTGACTGGGCCAAAGTTGCCTGTGTCAGCAGTAAATATAAACACAAAAAGTAGACCCCAGCATCCGAGCTTTGCTTGTACATTCCTCAGTCACCGGGCTGGCTCCGAAAACGCCAGCGCTGAAACTGAAGAGAAAGATACTGAGCCCACAGAGGGGAGGGCTTGGGTGGCGTTTTGTAGGAAGAGTTTCTGGCTCCCTACACACATTCTCTATGGATGGGAATTCTAGCCCTGTACATAAAACCTTGACACTTTGAAAAATTGAGGCTGTTTTGTTATCTACAGTCAATGAGGTGTAAAATCAGCTTTTCAGGAACATTTATTTGCTCTCAAACCGGAATCCAAGACTCAGTATTACGGAACTTAGGAAAAGTACCAGTCTTTCCATTGTCTCTGGTAGAAAACCACCTTATCAGTGACGCACTGGCAGTTCTATATAAAAAAGCAGAGTTATCTTGTGGCTGTTAGCTCCCTGGGGGGAAACTGTTACCAGTTTAAGTGACAAGGGACCCAAGTGCTCTAGGCGTATCAGGACATTTTAAAAAAATAATCGTAATTTAATATTCACATCTCTGTGGCAAACAACAGTTGGTAGAAGTTTACTTATCGCCTCTACGGTGTTTTTACTTAGATCTTAGAACATTGGTTTGCAGGCAATCTTAAGCAGCCATGTGAAAACCAGTATTTTGGAAATGGAAAGATTCAGAGATGCTCTCTGGCCCATGTTCCCTACAGATGCTGGAACTATGAACAGAACTAAGTCAGGGAACTTGTGATTGACAGCATCATCTTCTTAATTTTCAATATGAGTGAGGTCAGTCTCTTCTTCCTGGAGCAACACAGAGGTGACAGGTCAAGGAAGCATCAAATCTGCCTTTATTTTTTATGTGACATTTGCCTGGGTCCTCCGCCTTTTTTGCCAGCGCAGACGGGGTCACCGCAGTCCACTTCTCATCCGTCATCTGTGGAATGCCCTGCACCCGCTCCGCTGTCTGCAGAGAAACAAACGGGAGGGTGCTTTTCTTCTCACTCACATTGCTGATGTCTCTGTTCCTGAGTTTTAAATAATGATAAAGACAGAAAAAGCAAATCCCTGTAGTAAAAAACCAGACTTTTCAAATGAAACATTTTATTGTAAATAGCTCCTCATGGGTATTCCTCGTGCTTCATTCCCACCCGCCCTTGTTGTTTTGTTTTGATTTTTTAAAATGATGTTTATTTCAGGACCAGTATTTTCCATGGGGTGTGGTGTTACATTAAAATGACCCCCCCTGCACAGCAGGGGTAGAATGTTTCTTTGTAACTTTGGTTCCATGCCCAAGACACATCTTTGCTTGATCTGCTGAAACTGTTCCCACTGCTGATTTTTTTTCTTTACACAATATATGTTTATAGTTCTTTTCTTCTGGTTCGACATATACATGTTTCAGTAAATGCAGCATATATTGTAGATTTTCAACAGGGTCATATAGGAACTGTCAAGTAAGAAACCTTGAATAATGGCTTTAAAATACACAGTTGTAGTCCTGGCTACAGGGTAGTCCTTAGCTTTTGATCTCCCTCTCACTGCTGTAAACATTTCTGCCATCTTGGAAGGTTTAGAAGCATTTGTCTTTCTGGGTCTTATCCGTGTTTTCGGTTACTCTGTAAAACAGAGGGAATATTCTTTAATCACCATTTCTGTCAGTAGCTGAAACAGAAGAAAAAAACCAAAATGCTATTTTTTAAAGAAAAAAAAATTATTCTTTACCACCTCTTAAGGTTGTATGATCTTGTGCAAGTCACATAAAGAACATCTCTGAGCTTAATTACAATAATTTTAAATGAGAAAATGGGAGGGTTTCTTTCAAGGGTTGTGCACCTAAAGCATCACACAATTCTTGCCTCACAGTAAGTGGCCTACAATACCAGGTGCTATCATTATTACCTTTTCCTCCGGGGCCTTCCAAGGCGAGGCCTTAAGAAGCTCAGTTAAATCATCATGGCTGCAAATATTAATTTAAGATACTATGTTACAAGCAGGTCTGTCTGCGCCTTTCAGTGACTTGCTTTATGTCACACTTCTCCCCAACAACTGTGTCCAACGACAGGTGGTCTCCACCCTAAGTCCTGACCTGAGGATTCCCTATGACGTTCGTCACACCGGTTTCCTGGTTGACTGGAGAGATGTCCCTGAAGAGGTCCCTCCCTGAGCTATGCCCATCAGGACTCCTGGCCCTGTTCCTCTTCCAGTCCCTGTGTCTGTGTTTCACTCGGGTGGAACTTTAAGGCATAATGTTCTCTTCCAAGCAACATTGGACATGGTGCGGAGGATGTGCTGTTATGTGCTGCTCAAGGTCACGGTCTTTAGAGTCTGAATGACATGGACGGAGAAAATGGGATTCCCAATTTCTCACTGTATGTCCACGGACATGTTATTGAACATCTCTAAACCTTAATTTCCCCATTTGTATAATAAAGAGACTAATTCTGTAGCAGGATCGCTGATACCCCAGGAATGGTGACTGCAACCCAAAGGGATGGAAAAGGAGGCCTGAAGTACTCCAAGGGCGCTTCCAGCCCACCCACCGTCCAGAGGCAAATTCAAGATTCAGAGAAACTTCCACCGTAAGTGCAAGTCAGAAACACTTGGACTTTGTGTTTGCAGAGCCACTTTGCTCCAGAAGACGAGATTCCACTGGGACCAAGAGTGACAGGGTCCTGGGCGTCACTAGGCAGTGCCCTGGCTGGGAGGAGGGTGCACTGTGGGAGGGCGGGGACGTACCCGAAGGCATAATTAGAGGCTACACTTGTGCAAAGGAGACTCACATCCTGCTGTTCGAGCACAGAGCGATGCTCTCCTCTTCCTTCGTCTCTCTGTGCAGGGACGGAAGGGGGGGCAGGCAGAGACGGGCCAGCGGCTTCCTTCCCAGCAAGAAGCTGAGGCTGGTACCACCGGTGGTGGAATGTGGGGTGGCCGTGGGAGAGCCTGGGCCTGGCCAGTCAGGGGAGGGTGCAGTGGGTGCCCTGCACGGCTCCTGAGGAACTCATGCACAGGTGCCCCATGGTCCGTCCTTCACCACCTCTCTTTGAGGAGATGCTGAGGCCTGGTCAGTAATACCCAGAGGACCAGCATCAACCAACCACTAGGGAGCAGGCCTCAGCCTCTGCTGCTGGAGCTGGGAGGCAGGTCTCCCTTCCCCTCTTCCTGTGCCGGCCCTCCACAGGGGCTAAGCCCTGAGGAGCGAAGGGAAAGGGGCCCCTCAGAGCCAGACTGTGAACCCCCTCCTCCACTGGGGATAAGAAGAAATGAGATTAAACAGTCTGAAATAGGATTTTTAAATGGAGCTAGACTTCTAAAAAGTGTTAAGTGACTAAAAATTTTTGGAATCTACTTAAGAATTTAACTCAAGGGTGAGAGAAGGAAATAAGACCAAACCCTAGTTTAAGCTAGGGTTTGAGAAAAATATATTATGTTCAGAATTACATCTCACTAGAATGAGAGCCCTAAACCACTGGTTACAACCATAACATTCTCATATCCCCTGGGAAATAAGGAAACTGGCCTGCTTATATATAAAAGACATTTTAAGGTGTATGTATGTATATAGTGTATGTGTATGTTTCTATATTTAAAATAAATGTGTAAATACAAAAGTCTTTTACTTGCAAATTTTCAGCTTATACACTCTCAGATCTTAGATTCTGTTTCAAAGCCCAAATGTGTAATTTCTGTCTTTCATGCCTGTCCTAAAAACCCATTTGAGTAAAACCACACTGGTTTCAAAAAACAAATGGGCATAAAGACAGTCTCCCAAAATGTTGAATGTCTATAAGTTGAGTGCCTCAAACATCGAGTATGATTTCTACAGCAAAGCCAGATGAATTCAGATTGGCATTCTGGATAATTGAAGTGTTACCTAACAGGTCGCCACCGAAGACCAGTCATGTTCAATGAGCTGAAGATCAGTACACTGTAACTAAAACAGTGGAGAATACAAATTCATTTTTGAATTTGGGCCTCCTATTCGAAGGCCCTTCTGGATATTACAGAGCCTCAGGCATTCTGCTGAGTGGCTGCTCACCAGCTCTGAGCTTTGGTTTCCTCCTCTGTGAAACAGGGACTGCAGCTCTCCCTTCTGAGAGTTCGCTACACGCCCCCAGCATCCAGGTCACTGAGCACAGTGATGTCACTGCTGACTGGTGACTCCAGTATCCAAGTCCCTGCCACACTGCCTCGTTCACAGAAGACACTCAGCAGGTATTTGTTCAGAGCAGCTGAGAAGCTACTCGTGTTCACTATTCTTCAGGGTCTTCTAACTGCTGGAAGTTTCTTTAGGTCCTTTACAGACACATGTTTAGAGACATACTGATTAACGACAGTAGCTAACTCCTATTCTCTAGTTACCACAGATACCTAGAAACCACGAGAGGCAGCCCCTCCCTCTCCCGGCTTTGTGTATCTCCGTGAAGGCCACTGCCGTCCAGCCAGCTGCCGGGCCCAGAGCCCTCAGGCCTGCTCCGGGCACCTCTTACTCAGCCCTCCTCGGAAGCTTATCCTGCAGCCAAGTGCTCAGTACATGGCAGCTGTTGCCATCACCTCCAGGTTCCAAGTGAGGAAACTGACCCTGGGGGTTGTTAGGGAACTAACTGGTCTATGAGAATCCTAGGGAGGAAGACAGAGACTGGTGAATAAAACTTAACGGAAACTGAAGGATCAGGGAAAGCTTCCCTGAGCCCCTGATGTCACACTGAGGTGGGAAGGACAAACGGATGTGAACCAGCAGGTGGCGGTGCGGGGAGCGTGGAAGGGAGATGGAAGCACACCTCAGAAGGTGTGATCCAAGACAGAACGCTTGGTGTGTGCCGAGAAGCTGGCTTTCGGTGAGCCTTTCCCTGGGCCAGGTACCACACTGGTTGCTTTGCATGTGCATAAAATCACCTAATCCTCAGAAAAATAACAGATGCCACTATTTACTCATTTCTTATATTAGGAAATTTATAGTTAAAGATATACAATAGTATCTATTTTGTAGGGTTGTTGTAAGTTTTAATATAATAATGGGTATGAAGTGTACTTTTCAGCCGCAAAGCAGGGGGTCCTCTTCCTTATTGTATCATCACTGTCATTAAAAAAGCATGTACGGTTGATGGCTATGTGCTAGGTACTGTCTAGGTAGCTGGGATACAAACCTGAACATGTATGGTCCCTGCCGTCATGAACATTCCTTACAATGAGGGTGAGAGAAATTAATCTTAAGAAACCACCCAGAACCCAAATGTATATAGAATTTGGCCAGGAGTGAAATCGAGGAGGCCTCCCCCGTGGGAGTCAGTCAGCAGTGATCCGCAGGATGAGCGAGTAGGTGTTCACTAAATAAAGCCAGAGGGAAGGTGTCCTGTGCCTAGGGCAGCGTGGGCGGAGTATGAGCTGCAGGAGGCAGCTCAGCTCCCGGGGGTGGGGGATACTGGGGCCACAGGAAGCCTGAGTCACTGTCCACAGTTGCACCACACAGGGCAGGGCTGGCCACGTTAGGAACCAGGATATGACATCTATGGTGATGCTTCCCTAGGAGGAAGGCGTGATGTGATTTCTGTTCCCTAAAACCCGCTCAGGTTGCTATGCAGAGAATGAGTGACAAGAGGAGGGAAGTACTGAGCCCTGTTAATAAATAGGGCGCTGCCCCTGTGGAACTGGGGGAGAATGCATTTGCGTATTCTTTCCTTTGTTCCCTCAGGCTCTAAGTTATTCTCCAAACAACATTTAAAGACCAAATCGGACAGTCATCTCGGTGCTGTGCTCTCCAGGGCTTTGGTCTAACACGTCACAAATCTACTTCCACGTTCACTGACTGAGCCATCCACCTATCTGTCCGTCCTTCAGCCCATCCGTCCATGTAAAATGCACTCAGCATCTGGTGCGTACAAGCTGCTGCTGTAGACACTGAAGATACGAGGATGATAAAGCATAAGCCCTACTGTACACTTCAGCAACAGGCTGATGTAAGAGACAGAGAGGGGAACAATTTCAATATGACTAGACAAAGGCTAATGGGTGTATTCACATAGAGAAACGACTCACTGGTAAGCCAAATTATTCATCTTACAGGCTTTTTTTTACCAATATAAAAGATGGAGCAAAATTTTCCTATTCTAAACACAAATGTAGTAGAGATCGGTTATATCGCCATTTGTTTCCCACAGGTCACCGATAGGCCTTGGTGGGACCAGGGACTGATACAATATAAATGCAATAAGAAATAAACATTGGCATGTTTCTAATGGAGAATTTATAACTCATCAAGTGTGGCTGTTTTTGGAGTAAAGTATTTTTTGTTAAGCTTTTTATTTTAGCAGAGTAATAATATGGTATTATGTGCCTTTTAACATGTTTCATGCTACTAGACAAGAAATGAAAATATTGAGCTCTCAAGATCAAGAATCCATGGTTGAGGCCTGGCTGGTATGGCTCAGTGGAATGAGCATTGGCCCTCAAACTGAAAGGTCACTGGTTCGATTCCTGGTCAGAGCACATGCCTGGACTATGGGCCTGGTCCCCAGCTGGAGGCATGCAAGAGGCAACCCGTCCATGTTTCTCTCACACATCCATGTTTTTCTCCTTCTTTCACCCACCCTTCCTTCTCTCTAAAAAAATAAAATAAAATAAAGTCTTAAAAAAAAAACCTCAAGAGATAGAAATTTCTTTAAAAAAAAAGAATCCATGATTGACACTAGAGGAGTATCGTTAAAAAAGAGCTGGATTACAGTAAGGGAACACAGTCAATAATATTGGAATAACTACGTATGGTACCGGGGGGGCACTGGAAACATCAGGAGAACACTGTGTAAAGTATATGACTGTCTGACCTCTATGCTGCACACCTAAAACCAATCCAAAATAATACTGAACGTAAACTGTAATGGAAAACATTTTTTAAAACTTGAAAAACGAACTAGATTAGAGCATGTGGATAAAGAACCACGGCCACCTTCTCTGCCTGGCCTTCCGGACGTCGTAATGAACCAGCCGGTGCTGTTCTGTTCTTCATCAATCCACCGCTCTTTGGAAGAGGGGCATTTTCAGTGGGTCATTGTATCAGAATGTAACAAGCAGCCTGGTGATGGCTCTTCGGGCATGCCTCTCATTTTCTCTCTCCTTTGTCTCTGGGTGTAACTAACGTGAAAGAATCAGTGGTGCACCGTTTCTCTGGAACATATACACAGATGCACGGGAAGATGACCTCTTCTGACACCACTGGGGACCCCTGCTTCTGGTCCAAGTCCCAACATAACCCTCGGAACTGAACTACCCAGTCAGCACCCCTGAGAGCGGTGAGGGGCCCTTCCCGGAAGCCCTCGGCAGCCTTCACATCACTGACAAAACGCCTTGAGGAACTGCTGAAACAAAAGCACGAGACCCTCCATTTTAAGGAGGGTATCGTTACATTTAAATTAGTCTGGGGTTGAAGCGCAGAGTATACATTATTAATTTAGTAGGACAATACTTTTATGATTACTTGCATTGTACTTTTACTACTGGCCAACAAGCCAAGCATAGTTTTCCCTTACTTCTTCCTATCTCTCTCTCTCGCCTGCTTTGGAGACGAGTGGCACACATCAGTGTTCGGGAATGTTTTATTTCCTTGTATCATTTAAATCCAGATTATTCCCTGAAAAGAGGAGATGAAAAGGCAACTACTTGATTTGGTTTAGGTGGTAGTTACTTGGCAATACTGGAGGTTACAGTTTCAAACGCGGGCATTTAGAAATCAGGAAATATGATCGCTTTCTTTAAAAAATAATAGCCCCTGGCTGGTATGGCTCAGTGGGCTGAGTGCTGGCCCATGAACCCCAAGGTCGCCTGTTTGATTCCCACTCAGGGCACATGCCTGGGTTGCAGGCCAGGTCCCCATTTGGGGGTGTGGGAGAGGCAACTGATCAATGTATCTCTTGCACATGGATCTTTCCCTTCTTCTCTTTCTCCCTTCCCTCCCCTCCCTCTAAAAATAAATAAATAAAATCTTTAAAAAATAATACCTAAGAGTTGCTGACTACTGAATTATGTTATGTTCCAGGCAATGTGATAATCTGTTTAATTATTGTAACATAACACTGTACACTATTTTAGGAAACATAATATAATTATAGGTAATATGATGATAACTACTCTATGGAACAGAAAAACTAATCTAAGGTAGATTAAACCTCTACCATGACCTAGCTGGGAAATGGCAGGATTCAAACTTAACAGTCTATTTATCTTCAAGGGTCTAAATTACTCAGCCATTGTGCTTTACATTAATAATCTTTTTCATTCAGCATACAATTATTAAGTGGCAATTGTGTGCTACTCTGGAGGAAAAGCAAATCAAATTTTGTACATCCCTCAAGGACTTACAAGTAAGAAAATGGGACAAGATACAGAGATGAGGGCAATGCAATTTCAAAACCCAATAAGGAAGGGGCACTGCACTAATTGGGAGGACACCTCTGGCAGTTGATACATAGATGAACGTAAACGATGCTCAAAACGTGAGAGAATGTCCTCGGTCACGGGTGAGGCAGTCTGGTGGCTACAAGTGGACTCCGGAGGGAGGCCGTCTGGGTGCAAGTCCTCGTTCTGAGAATTGTAGCTGCGTGGTCTTGGGAAAGTCACACGCTACAGTTCCTCCAACCGTTAAAAAAAAAAAAAAGCAATAAAAGCAACACCTACTTTACGGGGGGTTTGTGAGGATTTGTGTGTCTGTTGCTTAAAATAGCACCCGGCACATAATGTCAGCCGTTACTGATGTTCCTTTGCAGACCCACACATTGTCTGGCTGGTATGTTTTACAGAGTTGGGCTTTTCTCTCCTCAACAACCACACGGGAACCGGGTCTGATGAACTTCATTTGCCCTGTTTATGTCCTGACTGTTCTTTGCGGGAAGGGCTGTTTTCTGATCTCTAACCATTTTGATCCTTTCTTAGAGAACGTCACCAATTTCACTTCAGAAATTCTCCTTCAATTTGAGAGACTTAGTCCTCTTCATTATGTGCTGAAAGGCCACCACCCTTAGTGCCACATAAAGGGTATTTGCCAGTCTGAAAAGAAAATGTTTTGGAAGGAATAAAACCAGAGAGTTGGTTACACGAATACATGGCCCTCTGCCTAACCCCTTGTGCATGCCGAGGCCCGCCTGCTCCGAAGTTCCCCCGCAGGTCACGGAGTTATCCCCAGGGAGAGAGAAAGCGTCTCTCTCCCATTTTTCAATTTGCTATAGAAAACGTTCAACAACATAAGGTCCAGGGAAGATCCTTGAATACTATGACTTAGGATAACCACAGTCGACACAGGCCATGACAAATGGATTTAGAAGCGCAGCGAGCCCTTTCTCGTTTTTAAAATAATGTTATGGAGACTTGTGGTTTCCATCCCTGGGTGGACGTCAGAATCACCGGATATGCCTGTTAAAAGTACAGACCAGTCCTTGCTCTCCACCTCCCCCGCCATCCATCTCCCCTTCAAGTCCAGTCGTCTGCTTCGTTGCATCAGAGGGAGGCCATGGGGTTTTTATTCTTAACAGCATTGGGAATCATTGACCAAGATTATTTATACGTGCATTCATGAGTCATGAGATATGGGCTTAACTTAGTAATGATAACTTTTTTTTCTAAATTGACATTGACAATAATTTTATTTGAAAACCCAAGATCCAGCTTCACTTTCCTGCTTTCCTGAGTTCTGATGAAGAAAGATGAGGAGAAAGAGTAAAAAAAAAAACCAGTCATTGTTAGCTAGCTTCTTAAGAGTCACAGAAATCAGAATTTTTGAGCTGGAAAAGATACTAAAAATATATTTCTTCATTTTGCAAATACAGCAGCAACCTTCGCTGTATAACGGTTACAGTGAGATTACTGAGACCCACAGACAGCGTGACCTCCCAAAGCAAAGCTGTTAACTAGAAAAAAATTCTTGATCCTCATTACACTTTATGGTTGCTTTATTTCTCCAATAAACACCTAAACAGTGGATCTGCTTCTCATTTTATGGCATGTATGTCAATCAAACCAACTGTATTTTTTAAAATGTGAGCATAGTAACTACAGTAACTACACATATCATCCTTCTTATCAAATACCTAGCGGAACCACATTTGGAGAATTAAATGGAATCTTACCTTCAAGAGGCACCTTGACATCAAGGCCATAGAATAAAGGCAAGAGAGAAGAACAAGAATAGAAACAGAAACTGCAGAAGAAAAAGAAGAAGATTATGTAAATCTGAATTTCGATAGTGCCATTCAGGTAGTACAAAACCTCAGCTTTTCCACATTGCTTGTCTGATCACTTCTCATATAATACCAAGTGCCTGTTGTTCCAAAAAACATACCTTTTATTTGTCTACTGGCAAAGCAATGCAATGAGTAACTGGTGTTCCACTAACAGCGACTCATACATTTTAGAATTCTGACAGCGTCTTACAGATAACTGGCCTAAGCCCCTAGTTTTAGAAGTGAGAAAAATAAACACAGGGCAATTAATCAATAGACTGATTTCACATAATTTCAAGGCATAGTGATGTTTAGAGCTTAGACCTCCCAAGTCCTACTCTATTTTATGTCATTACGCCCATTTTAAATGTGTGGGAGGTGATTTCAGGTACAATGTAATTAGAGCATACACTTAATCACTCAGTGCTATCTATCATTGTGTGGTTAATGTGCCAGGTTTTAGGACTAAGGCACAGCGGGAAGAATATTAATATGCAGGTCAACATATGACAAATACACACAGTGGGATGCCCCAGAGGGAAATGGGACACTATCAGTAATCACATCAGGGCAACAGGTGTCAACTGGGTCTGTTCTGCACAAGTGAGTCGGTGTGGCCCCCCTGTAGGTGTGAAATACACCTGTACACCAGTGGGCACTTTGGATAGTGAACATACAATGCTGTTCCAGCCCGCCTGATTGGTTTCTCTTCACCAAGACTCTTCACTGGAGAACCAGGTACTATGATGGACCAACAGATGCTTGGGTGGCACAAGTATATAACCAACTCTATACCGATTATAAAAGGTCACAGGGCAGGGCAGTTTTCAAACACTGATTTCTTTGGTGACTTACTCTCACAGAGCGAGGAAGCCTTTTGCTTTGTTATCACTCTTCAGGAGCATTCTGTCGCACTTGACATCTTGTATGGCGTGGAGGACATGTTATCTGCCTACTTCCTTTAATGCCATTGATTATAAGTCTTTGGCTTCACTATGGCAGGATTGTATGAACAAGTTATAAAGAAGGTGCTAAGATCAAGGTATTGGTCACTATTCTATTCACCTAAAATCATAAAGTGTCCTTTTTCTTTCATCCCTTGCAGATGGAGAGGGAGAGGATGGCGTCTGCAGCAGGAGAGGACGGAGGAGGAGAGAAACGTGAGGCTTCCCCTGTTCCCAGGGGAAGGGCCACCAGCGGCACTGCCTCCTGGGGCACGAACTGGCGGGGGGGCGGGGGATGCCCAGCACTGGGTCTGCAATGAGATTCTTAGCCCACGCAGTGCGGTGGGCAGACCTCTGGCCCTGATTTGCCATGGACTGGTTACACGATCTTGGAAAAATTGTTCAATCGCTGAGCGATTGTTTCATTAACTGTGTAAAAGGAGACCATAATGTTCATTGTATCTGAATCACAGGATAATGATGAGAACCAAACAAGATGATGGAAGTGGAAGCACTTTGGAAGTGGTGGAATGTTGCGCATTTTGGGCAATTTTGCTGTTGGTTGTTATCACCTGATTTATATTAACTGTGTGCATGGGAATTAGGAACAAAGAAGGAACCTATTATGTACCCTAAGAAGGTGCTCAAGTATCCCAGGGGAAAGAAAAGAAACACTACCTCCAACATCAGACTTGCAGACGAGTAGAATGGAGGTCAGCTGGGCAGAAGAATAGAAGGTGCCCATCTCCCTCAAATCTCCAATCAGAAACAAACTGGATTTGCTTGTCTTTGAAGTAGCTTAATGTACTACGACATGTGGAACGTGTTGCTCTGATAGCTAAAGAATCCTTATTTTCTGTTAGTACCTTATCTCATTATCCTAAGTGTTTAAGAAGGTCAAACCTGGGAAATGCAATGCTCACATGAAATTCTGAACAAAACATAATCTTAATCTCCCTCCTCCCAACATTTCCGTGGGGTTTATGAAGGGAAGGGCCAGGGTGGTGACATTAGCAGATATAAAAAAGATAAACCCTTTGTTTATTTGTTTTCCCCAGTTGAATGGGGGGCAAACTGAACTAAGGTTTCTGGGGCAGAACTGCCTTAACCTGGATTGTCTCCTTGAGCTGGGCCTATGGCTACTTTAGGGTTAGCAGAGAGAATGACTACAGCCAAGAACTCGCCATTCAAAAACGTGGGAAATGCAGACCTGGCGTGTCCTTGACAACCAGGGAAGCTGCAGAGCAGTCCCTGCCTTCTGGGTCTTCCTGCCAAACACCTGGGAAATTAGACTAAGTCCCTGGTTGAACTTTGCCTCATTCAATCTTGCAAAACTAAAGCGCACACTTCTGAAATGAGGACGCTTCAAATTTAAATTTTTGCAGAAGTATATTTTCTGTTTGAAAGTTTAAAAAATTATGCTTTTAAGTTTGACTTACACTTTCTTAGTGATTTCTAATATTCACATAAGAGATCTAATTTGTTTCTCATGGAGAGGAGGTGAAGACAAGTGTCATCATCCCTATTCTGTGGGTGTGGCTTAGACCAGGTGGGTGGAATCACTTACCCAAGGTCAAACGGTACCCGAGACCTGACCCACATAAGTATCCAGGTGGCCGTAGTCTGGCGAGTGGCCCCTACTAGCTCCACCTCACCACACAAACATGAACAATTACCGAAGCGATTTGGGATGAAACAAATTCTAACCACTGTCTTAGAAATGGCAGATGGTTTCCTATTTCCTTCCTGGGTGGCTATGAAAGATACTGCAAAACCACCATATGATTTTGCAACACGAGGATCAGACACCTACTTCCAGGCAACCAGACTGGAGCTCCTGGACAACCTCCTGCCGTCTTTGCTGTGTGCCTCAGCAGAGAGCTCCGGCATCGTGAGCAGGGTAACTTTTTGCTGTGCAAGGCTGTCTGACTTCCTACAGCTGTTCAGTGTCCCTGCACGAGCACTGCCCCTTCCCTGCCACCCCCCATGCATATCTGTAAATGTCCTCTTGAAGAATAACTGTGCTTTATACAGCACCAGAAAGTGCCGGCTCACTTGGAAGAAGCAGTGACTCTTTCAGATCGCTGGGGGCAATGGCATGAGGGCACAGTGATCATATATTGATCTAAATTTCTGTATGTATGGTTGAGATGAAACTGCAGTATCAGAAATAAAGGGTGTTTATGAATAATAATGGAATTTTTTAAGGTGCTAAAAGATTTTAAAAAGAACATAGAGTAACAACTCAAAAGAAACTTCTGAAAAGGAAATAAGGATGAAGAAGAGGGAACAGAAAAGAAAACACAGAAAAGAATGGGACTCAATACAAAAGGCATGAATGTCAAGGCTAGCTTACTGAAGGTGGAGCCTGTGCTAGAACCCTGGTCCCTGACCCAAGGAGAAGTCCACAGCCATTGGGTTGGCCGAAGAGTGTGTTTAGGCCTTTTCTGTACAGTGGCTCAAGACGTGCTTACATGTCTTAACTTCATTGGAAACAGTTTTGTTAGATTGTATTGTGACAGCTGTCACATCAACCTGCATTTTTTTGAAAACTTATCAAAATTGATGAATTTTTGTAGAGCCATTTGAACACTGAAGATGGAACAACATAAGCAACATTTTCAGTGTATTATGCTTTATTATTTCATGAAAGGTAAGACACAACTGAAATGCAAAAAAAAAAGGGTTTATACAGTGTTTGGAGAAAGTGCTGTGACTGATTGAACGAGTCAAAAGTAGTCTGTGAAGTTCCTTGGTACCACTGACATTTTGGCCAAATAATTCTTTGCTGTGGGGCAGTCTTATGCACTGAAAGGTGTTTTAGCAGCACCCCTGGCCTCTACCCACTAGAAGCCAATAGCAGGAGACAGCCGACATACTCCAAGTATCCAAATCAATAAAGTTCCTGGTGTAAATGAAAAATTTGTCCTTTATTTTACAGAAAAAACCATACAGACTTTTTGGCCAACCCAATACTATACCTGCCTATGCAAAATACGCGGTAACTGAGAGGAAAGAAAGAACATACATAGTGAGTGACGTGGACACTAATTTATGATTAAAAAATTAAAAAAAAATAGATATTGAACTTAACACATACCTTTTCCTCTAAATCCTTTATCTGTCTTTTCTGGATATCTGTTTTGTCTTCTAAGTCACGGATTCTCTGAAGAAAGAAGAAAAAGGGAAAGCATTAATGGACAGTAAGGTGAATGAAAAGATTATTCACCCACTTAAAAGAGTCAACTTCTTATAAAGACATTAACATTAGTACTAGCAGCTGGAAATATCACATATATGTTTTTCCATACCTGTCGTTACATTTTCAATAGAAAATTGTTGCCATTGATTATATTAAAAAATATTTGCTAGCCCTCTCTACTGGGTCTACTCCTGCCCTGTGAGAGAGTTAGGGTCTCCACCCCACTGTCCTTGGGCTTGGCTGTGGGACCAGTATTGGCCAGGGGGTGTGACTTGTGGGAATGCCACATTCTAGCAGAGACAGTCGTGTGAATCAGAACCAGTGAGCAAGAAACAGACACCATTGTAAACAATCTGGACTAAGATTTCTGGCTGTCTGTTACTACAGTAAAACATGGCTGAGGCTGACTAACACAAATGGAAACAACCCTACTCTTCGTCACTAACCTCACTTTTCAACCTTATTTCATTGTTTCAGGGTGGAATTTCCTCACAAAGCACAATTGGCCAGTTCTCATAAAGCAAAGTAGAGTTCACACTTCCATAAACATTTTAAGGGGGGGGGACTGATAAATTAGGGGAAAAAAAACATAAAAATTACCCAAGTAATCCTGAAGACAAAAGAGTTCCTGGGCTATTTCTGAATTTATCTGTCAACTATACAATAAAATTCCAGTAATTTCAATAGCACAGATCTGAAATCAACATTACATAGACAATTATTTGCAAGAGGAAAGTCCTCACATTTCTACCTGGCCAGCTAAGCCGTTTATGTTGAGGGCACACGGCTCCACAGTGTAGGCGTGTTATTTCATGCCTCTCTGGGGAATAACTGGAAAATGGAGAACTGGGGTCTGGGAAGAAAACACCGGAAGTGGAATGGGATGATAAAATAAAAAGAGAGTTTTTCATGATGCAAGATGCAATGTGGAAAGAAAAAAGGGAAGCTAGATGAGAGAATACTTGAACTTGGACATCATATTTCCCTTCCTCTAAAATAGTGGTTCCAATGGGAGATGCTTTGGCCTCCCAACAGACATCTGGCAATGTCTGCTCCCCGTGAAAGTTAGTTAGGTAGCTAATTTATTTTAAAGTGTGGAATCCTGTGGTTTTAGTATATCCAATTACATGGACATTTTAAAATCCCATGTGATAACTGGTCACAATGGGGAATGGTGGTGTTGGGGTGACAAGCACCCCATGGGCAGAGGCCAAAAACATTGCTAACTGCCCCAAAATAGAAGGATAGCCCCCCACCACAAAGGATCATTGGTCCAGAATGTTAGTAGTGCAGAAACTGAGAAATCCCATTTTAAAAGAAAGGGGCTAAGGTGTGTGTAGGAGAGGATGGGGCGTTTTGGTCAGAGAGATCATCAAGGCTGACCTTGAAATGATACAACAATGAATGCAGAGGGTGTGTGTGTGTGTGTGTGTGTGTGTGTGTGTGTGTATGTGTGTGATATGTGTGCTTGTGTATATTGCATGTTCCAACACTACACAGTAAGAGAACAAAATGGCTAGACAGTTTCACCTTGAGTGCACAAGTACTTCCTTGGTATGTCTACTGGACATGGAGACAAGTGTGCATCAACATCATCAGACCCATGTGAGATTACTATAATATCTATTCAACTACCAAGTCTGTGCTTGTTGGGCAACTTCTTACACATTCACGACCATGCCAGAAGTAACAGAGAAGGCAGGTAAAACATCGATTAGTTCCTGACCTCAAGAAACTATCAGATCTGGGTGGGGGGCAACATTTAAAACACAGGGAAAAACAAATTAAGTAGAAGTAGTAATCCATGGCAAAACCATCTATAACTTCATCACCAGTCTCCAATACCTTGTACAGTGTGCAGCACAAAGAAGCTGCCTACGCCCATTTATTAAATGAGTTCGTTAAGGTACACTGTGTGATGTTTGCTTTATTTCTTTTTTCTTCCCATTCACGTGGCATCCAATCCAACAGGAAATGCTCTCAGGTTGAAAACAAATCCCTGTTCTACTTCCTTGTTATCTTTACTACTACCAAGTGCACCAAGTCCCTGCTGTCCCTCGTCAGGACTGGGACGACAGCTCGCTGCCAGCCCTTCCTGCTTCTAGTCCTGTCCAGTCTGCATCCATCTACGGCAGCCGGCGTGAACTGTTAGGATGGCAAATCATCATGGTACTCATTAAGTGAAGGGGGTGAGGAAGGGGACAAAGGGAGAGTTACCTGAGTTGTGCTCAGAATAAAACCCAAGCGCCTTCCAGGCCCTACATCATCCGGCCCCGTCTTACCTCTCCAACCTCACCCCACATCAGCGCCCCCTTGGCTCCGAGTGCTCCCGCCATACTGGTCTTCTCTGTGTGCCCTAAATACTGCAAACACCCCCAACACAGCCCCTGCTGTCCCAATCTTCTGGGACACTGGGTCTGATCCCCTGGGCTTTGGATGTCTTCAGAGAGGCCTTTCTGACCAGCTCGTCTAAAGTGGCCGATTCTACTCCTGAACTCACACACACACTGTACCATTTTCAACACAGAACTTATTGCCACTCTCTGAAATTGCCTTGGTCACTGGTGATTGGTGTAACTGCTTTTTCCTTCTTTATTGGGAGGAAAGATGAACAAAACAAAATAAACCATCTCTTTTATGAGTGAAGTATCTTAGCTGATTAAAAAAGACTTAAAAGAGATGACAAGGCTTTAACCATAAATTTAGATAATTGCTGTCTATCTTAGGAATAAGTACTTCTGTGGTTCCATGCCACAGCTCCTGATTTGTTGAAATTAATTAAATGCTTTGTAGCCTAGGAAATTTATGCAGAAGAAATGTTTATTCCCTGGTAACAGGAAAGGAGGTCTGTGGCAATGTAATGATGCCACAGAATCTACTATCAAAGGCTTTAAAAACTCTTTTCAGGGTCAAAACCTAACCCTTTATGGACTCTGAAGGGGCACTATAACAAACATGCACACATTTATCATCTCCAGAACAAATGGCTTCAGAGTTCCCTGTTAACTCGGGGAGTCTGTTAGCCCACAAAGGTCCACAAAGCTCCTGGCTACATCTGAAGTATGCTAAGTAATCAAGTTGCCCAAGCACTATTCATATTGGTGTCATAAAATAACCCCTGTTCCTTTCCCACTCTCCTTGATCTCTGATGACCACACGCTTCTTACTTCTTGTATAGCCCATCTGGATTTTGTACCAGTCACTTGTTATAACTTCTGAGTACCAAATATTATAGCCTGGCGCTTCCAATTCTGGAATTCTTATGGCATCTGCTTTTGTCCTATCTCTTACCTACCAAGGTATGACATGATGAAGAATTCTGGCTATACATTGATATTGGGTGTCTATATTGAGCCTCGCTGGTCTAGATTAATGATATAAATCACACCTGACTCAAGCTGTGTTGGACAGTATGTGTGTGGTTATGTACACTGGCCTTGGAGCCAGGCGGACCTGGGCTGGGATCCTGGTTCTGCTGCCTCCTATCGCTGTCGTCTCGGGCAAACCATTGAAACACTCTTACCTCCAATATACATCTTGGGATAATAAGGAAACGTACTTTAGTGGGCTCCTGGGAAGATTAAATGAAATGATGTCAGTGGAGCCCTTAGTTTATTCGCTGACATGGGGCAAATGCCAGGAAGTGGCCGCTTCCAAGCTTTGTTGTTGCTGCTCTTTGTTCTGGGAATAAAGAGAAAGGCCCTCGCATTCCTTCACCCATTCAGGTTACGAGGTTACAGACTGGGGTAAGCCACAGGATGAAAGCATTATTCCTGTCCTGGAGAAAGTCCCGCTCTCCTGCCTAACGGAGAATCAGGCTCCATGAGATTCAAAGGTTACTTCATGACCCAATAGTGGCAAAAACCATACCAACAGGCAATGTTTCTAAAATGTCAATTTTCATAAGCTGAATCATTGCAAAACAGTCATCCCTTATCTGAATGCCCATAGAAAACAACAGTTATTTATTTTACTTTCTGAAGATAGCTTCTGGCTCCTGGGCTTCTCTGTACCCATATTCAATACCACGGACTTAGGACGAAGTGTCATTTGCTTGGTACCAACCTTCCACGGAAGTCACTCAGTCCTCACCTGATGGGCTTGCTGTAAGAGCTCCATCCTCTCCTGAAGAATCTGACAGTCGTACTCTCTGCTCTTCCTCAGCATCTGCCGCCGCAGCTTCTCTACTGCAGTCCTCAGCTCCTCCTGCTGTTTCTCACTCAACAGTTCACCGAATTTGATGACAGTTTCTTGCTGCAGAGCATTGTACAAAGTAGCTTCTAGTTCCTGGATTCTCTGGCAAATAAAAGCAGAAAAGTCTAACTTTGGAACTTTGAATGTAAGTGTGGTGTGAGCGTGTACATACGTGTGTATGAGAAGGGATATATTATTTTAGTCTTCCAGGATCACAGCGGTAAAATAAATTTCATAGCTTATCCAGACTAACTACCCTTCTGGTAATCCCCTTTATAGGATTCCATAAGAGTTATTCAGCCAATATGATAATTTCTTGGATGATGAGAAATTTGTTCTTTTTCTTGGACAACTTTCATTTTTAGAAAGTTCCCACTTTGTTATAATAATTGTACATCCTTCTATTCTCAAGTGTAGCTGAAAATAAGTTTGTTTTCCATTTGATATCCCTTCAGATATTTAAAGACATCTGTTATAGGAGCCATACTTTTACAGAGAAATAGTGGAAAATGGTCAAAGCTGGAAAAAAAACTTGAAATTAGAGTTAAATTTCGTTGACAAATGAAATTTCAGTTTTGCCACCTCTCTTCTACATGACACACCTCTGTACCTAAGATGGCTTTCCAATCTTCATATTTTTATTAAAATAAAAATTAGGAAATTTTATCTAAAAATAGCCTAGAGTCTCTAGAATTGGTCGTTTTTTTAATTACAAATTCCCTTTTTTTAGATGAAGAATCTATTTTTCCTTATATCCAAGTGTTTTGTTTTAAAACCTGCTTCAAACATCTTTAGTCAGAATCTACAGTCCTGCTCCCTGTGACTCTGACAGGGGTAAGCGGACACACCCTGGTGAGGTGTGTCTTCCTGGGTCTTGTCCTGGACTGTGCGGATCTTATCTTTCTAAAGTGAAAGCTTCTTGTCTGAAAGAGCAGACAAGATGGGACACACAAACACAGCGCTTTATCTTTTGAAGTACCGTTAGGGGAGGCAATGACAGAGAGTAGGGAGGGACGGGAAGAAGCATTTCCCTCTTTATTCTCTAGCGACTAACTCATCCTCTCTTTACCCCATCAAGTAATGCTCAGAGCCTCTCATTCATTTTCAAGGGGGAATACCAGTTCATCTTTGTTATAAGTAGAAACTAAGAGCTTCACTGTTTTCCCAGAAATGATGCAAGCTGCTTCCAGGAAAGAAAGCATTATAAAAACCTCTACAAGCAAGTCCTTGAAATGCTCCTCTTTTAAGTTTGCTCTTTTTCTCTTGAGTCATTATTGTGAATTAATGGGGGGGTGGTAGGAGTGGGGGGAGTTCATATAGAGAGAAGAAATGCAAGCTGTCCTCCAATAGCAGGAGTTACTTGTGATGACTTTTGTACAGGGCAATGGACCGAGTGAGCTCCTTAGTCCTCCATGGGACAGAAAAGGGCGCAGCCCAGTTACTGACACGGCCTGGCCTGTGGTGGCTGGGTGAGGGCAGTTAAAGCCACAGTGTCTGCAGTCCCTTCTAAATGCCACCCACCTACCAATGTGGGCAGAGTTCTTTCACTCTCTAAGCCTCCGTGCCCTCATGTGTAATACAGAATAATGGTATCACCTATACCTCACAGGGCTGTTGTGAGAAATAAGTGAATTAAAAATGTATACAATGAACATTAAAGACTATTTCTCTATCACTCAGTTAGGCTCCCAATTGGATTTAATCCATTTGCTCTTTAATCTCCACTGCCACACAGTCTGGCTTTAATTAAAATGTTACATAATGACATGCATTTAATTTAAAAATTTAAAGGTACAATTAAATATTTATTAAGTATTATGAGAATATGGTAACAGCAGAAAGCTAGATATATTTTCTAAAATAAGAAATAGAAACCACTGAATAAATAAATAAACCATTGCATAGTGTGGTCTACTGGAGTACAGGCATGAAGAATTAAACAGGATGCTTTCCTCCACGGCACATAATGGAAAAGTTCTGTGTGTCTTGATTGCTTGCTGCACCTACCATATACGCCTGGTCGAGGGCTTGTTTTCTGTAGTCCAGCTCTTCTTCCAGATAGCCTTTGATTTTGCAGAACTGTTCCTATAAAAAAGGGCCATGTTGATAAATAGAGTCAGCTTAGTTAACCAGAAAGTGATATATAATCGTATTGATCACTGTTTTCTCTAATTCTGGTACAAGACAAATCACTAGTATTTGTTGGGTCATTGATTTTGTCTGTTTGTCTGTTAGGGAAATAGTTCAACTTCCATTGTCTTACCTAGAGAATGTGAAAATCAATGGAAAGGAGCATAAAAGACATAATGAACCATTCACACAGAGAGTTCTAAAGGGTTCGTATGCCAGTTCAAGAGCAGGTGATCAAGGATAGATTTTGACAAGATAAATGTTAGCTAAAAAGTATATCTGTGCAAATATATTATGATATTGTATTTTTGTAAGAATATTATGAAATGTAGTACAGCAGAGTTGCATAATAAAAATCTCATCCAAAGTCATCTGTGTAAGATTAGCAAACACAAAGACAGATAAGAAATTAGAGCGAGGCGGCAACGCCACCCACAACCACAGTGCAACTTAATGAGTCTCTGCTCCTGCTGCAAAGCCCGTGTGAGCTGGAGACTGAAATCTGATGTTCTCGTGCTGTCTTCAGCTTCTGTGCACATTTTGCCACTAGCATTTAAGAATGTGTCTTTGTATGTAACATAGCCCCAGACCAGTCAATTATTTCTTTGTGTGTATAACTGTCTTCAGTCCATAGCCACCTGCATGAGGAACTTTACTGGTGACTTTCCTGGTGACCTCGGAGCTCCAGTGCCTAGAATAGCACTGGGACAGGTTGACTGTGTAACTCATATTTCTGCATTTAAAGAGTTTTTAAGGTATTTTCAATACAACAGTCCTTGTTGCATCTTTGAGTTTAGAAACTAACCTCTTCATAAAATTTAAACCCTATGTCAAATATAAGCAAATGATCGATAATCTGTCACATGCTATATAAATGCAAGCTGTTCTAAGATTCCCTAATCTGATAAGAATCCCTACTTGTTTTTTAGCAGTAATAACATTAACAACAGTATAATTATAAAATTCTATTATGCATTGCTGTAAGTTAATAATGCCCAATTCCTAGGCTTGGAGATTTTGAAAAAATAATTAGTTATGGTAAAATACACACAATGTCAAGTTTACAATCTTTTAACATTATTTTTTGTTTTATTTATTTTATTTTTAGAGAGGGGAAGGAAAGGGGAAAGAGAGGGAGAGAAACATCTCACACTCTCCCATCTGGGTACCAAGCCCACAACCCAGGCATGTGTCCTGACCAGGAATTGAACCAGTGACCTTTAGGTTCATAGGCCGGCACTCAATCCACTGAACCGCACCAGCCAGGGCAAAATTTATCTTAACCATTTGTAAGTGTACAGTTCAGTAGTATTGAGTACATTCACAGTGCTGTACAACCGATCTCCTGGGCTCTCTTCATCTTGCAGAACTACAACTCTGTATCCATTAACCAACCCCCCTTTCCTTCTCCTCTGAGCCACTGATAACTCCATTGCACTTTCTGGCTCTATGAGTTTGACTGCCCTAGACACCTCATGGAAGTGGAATCATGAAGCATTTGTCTTTTGTGACTGGCTTATTTCACTTAGCATAATGTCCTCAAAGTGCATCCATGTCACAGCATGTGTCAGAATCTCCTTCCTTTTTAAAGGGCCATTAGTATCCCATTGTATGTATAACCACAGTTGCTTATCCATGCATCCATTGAGAGGTAAACGTGCATTGCTTCCACATTTAAGCTACTGTGAATAATGTTGCTTTGAACATGGGTGTGCAAATATCTCTTCGAGACTCTGCTTTCAATTGCTTTGTATATATACCCAAAGGTAATATTGCTGGATCATATGCTAATTCTACTTGGCACTTTTCTGAGCAATCACCATATTATTTTTCACAGTGGTGTACCATTTTACATTCCCATCAGTAATGCACAAGAGTTCCAATTTTTTCATATTCTTATCAACACTTGTTATTTTCTGGTGGTTTTTTTTTGGATAGTATCCATCCTAATGGGTATGAAGTGGCTTGGAGATCTTTAAAACTAGAGTTACACCCAACATTTCTGCGATTTTTGCTATAATTATACATGATAAAAACACTATTTAGCCTAAGAGAGAAAGCGTCTAACCAAAATTTCTGCAGCAATAGTTTTGGCAATATTACAAAAACACAATGTGATTGCTTTGAACAGTGCTACTTGACACTGCCGGATGCTTCTGGGAACCCCGTTCCACAGGCTGCACACCACAATGGGAAGGCTCCAGACCTTTACCGCTGCCAAATAAAACTGGCAGAAGACAGTCATTTTCCTTTGGCCTTGTCAATTTTCCCTCACTTTTATAATACCTCATCTTTCTACGCACCATGTCACTTTCCAGTTCCATCATTTTCTGGTGCAGGGCGGCCTCTGCTCCTTCGATTTGCTGGATCCACTAAACAAGACAAAAGTGTGGACATGATTCCTTGATGTGGCGTATACGGTGTTCTCTACTGACCGGCTCAGTCACTTTCCCTTGCATCTCGGAAACAGACTAAAAACTGAAGTGAAAACTTGGTGCATTCTATCTCTTAGTTCAGAAACAAGACTATATTTTTCATTCACTCATTCATTCATTCATTCATTCATTCATTCAACAAAAGTACTCATTAATGTCTTCCATGTGTCAGGCAATGTGCTAGTTGTGAGGGCAACCATCACATTTTTGTTCAACAAAACATTTTTGCCCTCATGGGAGGACACCACAAAAGGCTTTCTTAGGAAGTGACAACTACACTGGAATCTGAAGAATGAACCAGAGGTCATAAGGCAAAAATGAGGGGCAAGTTCATTGCTCCAGAAAGGATGCCCAATGCTCCATGGCTAGGGGGTGCATGACGAAAGAAAGTAAAATTAGAGAATTAGCAATTTTTCAGTATATAAAACAAGACAGCTAAGTGGTGGAGAAGAATAATTGTTGTTGAGTACAGACATTTTAATCACATAAAAAGAACTTAGAAATTTTCCCCAACACTTAAAATATATCATTCTGTTACCTGGTATCGATGTTAGCATTGATCAATACCCTGAATAGATTTGGACTGTAAATATTACAGTGTGAGCCCACCACATAGACGACTTAAAGGAACATTATTATAGTGCATCTCTACTTCGGGAGGTAACTGGGCATAATAATCAAGTGTGTGAGTTCTAGGGACAGGCTGCTTTGGGTCCAAATCCCAATTCTAGCTTTTCATGGTTTGTGGCCTTGGAAGGTTACCTGATTTCTCTAAGGCTCAACTTTCTTATCTGTAAAAAGGGAGTTAATAATAATGGAAGATGAAAAGATGCATTTCATGTCATCAGGGAGAGCACATCCCAGATACCATTCCACATGTAAATTCTTCAACAGGCATCCCTAACAGAAAGGTATTTTTCCTTTTAAAGCGTAACCACAGGCCATTTCCACATCTTGGAAAATTAGCACTAATACCCTGTGCTTTCTGACACCTGGTCTACATTAAAGTGTCCCTAGCCGTCAGCAAACAACTTGGTCCGCTTGACTCGGGATGCCAAAAAAGATAATTTCACCATTTCTTAAGTACCTTTTTACTTTATAGCTGCCCTTCCCTCTCCCTCTGCCACTTTTTTTCTTACTGTCATTGTTTTGTTTAAGTTGACTGGCTCATCTGACCTGTAGAACTCCCTCATCTCAGACTGGAGTAACATGATTGCTTGCACATGCTTTCACTTAATCTATAGCAAGTTTTATATGCATTTAGGAATTAAGGAAGCATCCAAAGGGACTTACAGAGTCTTCATTTTATCCAACCATGTACACATGACTCTCCACTATGTGCCAACTCTCAAGGCACCCTGAGCCCAGGCAGCCAGTGATCAGGCTTCTCCCCTTGCCCTTTCCTCTTCCCTCCCTCTTCCTGCCACTGACCAGGATTGGACACAAGGGGGCAGCGCACACTGCCGCTCTTCTGCCCGTCCCCAGGTCGGCCTTTCTGCGTGAGACTGGGCAAGCCACCACCACAACACAGAACCAGCTGGGAACAGTTTGTAAGCACACATCCAAGGAAGAGCCTACACAAAGAACCAGGCTCCAGTTTATCACCTCTCAATTGTTAAAAAGAAAACCATGGGCCCAAATGGCATCATTTGTGCTCAAGCCCATGACACCAAACCTCAACTTAACATCTGACCTAACTGCAGTTTCGACCGTCACCAGAAATGGAATGTTCATCGGCCAGAACGGAATTCTCTGGTCGACACCAACGAGGAAACCAGTCCACGGGCCCTTCTCCCCTCCCCGCTGGAAGAAGAGGCCGCCTGTATGATGAAAACTCTGCTGTCCCCTGTCTCCCCCCTGAAAAGGGGTCCTGGTCTAAACAAGAATCACTTATTTTCTTTAGTTAACAGCTCCCTTGCCTCACCCTTCCTCCTGTAAAACATCCCATTTTGTACAGCCCCTTCGAGGGCCCTTCTAGTTGCGAGTCAGGACGCTGTCCAATCCATGAATCACTTATGAAAGCCAATCAGATCTTCAGATTTACTCGGTTGAATTTTGCTCTAAGGACAAAATCCTTCTTTACTGGTTTCCAAGCTTGGTAGGGGTTGCTTGAATAATTTAATTTAAAAGGTTTTCCATTTTTTAAGAATTACATGTTCAAGAGACTTCAGAGCAAGAATTATCCACCCACCCCAAATCAGTGTGTAGACGTTTTGGTGTGTGTTCTCACTCTATCTGGGTTGTATCACCCTGAAAGATAAAATGTTCATTAGGTATTCACGAAGGCAAAGCCACGTGCACAGACAATGGCCTTTAACCCTGCCCTGCGCCTCAGGTGCTAAGCCAGACACGGAGACAATCTGAGCGTCTGCACAACTCATTACCTTCTCCGCCAGGGACAGCACGGTGCTGGCCTGGATAATGGCCACTTGTTCTTCGTTCCTCAAATTCTGTGAAGAAGAAAACCAGAAAATAAGCCAAAGACACTTAAGATATTTACATTATCAGAAAATATTGCCTAAGCGCCTGCCTCAGATACAACTGCCCGGAACCTTAACAAATGTCATATTTAGTAATAATTCTTAACAAAGAGTTCATTCAAAACCTTTACAAAGCATATTGTAACTTTTTTATATCCCTCTAATATTGACTTGGTTTTATGTTTCACGGTAAGTATACTACACTAATAACTATGTTATAAGAAAATCATAAGCCAAAATAAAATAAAGAGTAATCTCTGCATAACAGTTTGATGTGACTTAATTGGTATTGTTCTCTCCTTTGACAATTTGTTAAGGGAAAAAGTGGTGTGACTCCTCAACCTACATAAATCATTCATCTAATATCTCAGTGAATGATCCTCCCACTCAATTACTATGCCTTGACCCTGCCTGGAAGGTGTTTTTAGAAAGAAAAGGAATCATAGTTTCCTAGTCCATTTTTATGGGGCTGCCACCAACCCTGCTATTTAGCACCATTTGCAACTACATGACTGATTAATTTCATGCTGGATGCCTCTAAGCAACAGTTAGAAGGCAATTAGCTTTAATCACTGCAGATGTATGTGGTTGGCATTCAAATTGGAAACCTTCTCATGAACAGCATTTTACCAGTTCCCATTTCTGCCACCAGCTTCCTGAGATCCTTCCAACCCCTCAGCCACGTTGCTTGATAAACTGTTGATTCTCTTCAGGAACATACATTCTTCAGTGAACATGGCCTTCCACTGCTATTATTCTACATGTGATACACTGGCGAGTATTTCTTGCCTCTCTCTTTTGGCAAATTCCTATCCTTCCTGCACTTATTTAATTCATACTCACCCCATTATCACCCAAGATATCAAGCTGCTTTATGAGATCAGGGATGTTCACATCCTGCAAAAGCAAGGAGATAAACTCAAGTCAAAGGCGAATGCAAATGCAGCTTACCATTCTTTCCGTGCCTCAACCCTAATTTGGGGAAAACATTTTAAGTGCCTGTAATTCCTTGGGTTGTTTTCACTGTTTCCACTCTGCTTCTGATAAGGTGTGTGGACTTCAGGAAACTACTTAACCGTTCCTTCTCAAGTTTGCCAACTGCAAAATGGAGATAAGAAGGACCTCCTCCATAGGCTAATCTTGAGGATAACGAGATTATGTACAAAAGAGTCTATAGTGTATGTAGTAAAGGCTCGAATTAGCTAATTAACTTTCTTCTTCCAGTTGTCAATTTTTTTTTCAATCTTGGCAGATTTCAGGTATAAAGAAAAGCAATAGGTAATAAATAGAAATAATGAACCGACTTCATTCTAATTGACCTGACTTGGTCTATTAGAATGGTAGAGAATGGTAGAGAATGTGACTGACACATGAAAAACTGGAATGCAGTTCCATTTTTTGGAAAGAGCTGATTTTTACTATAGTCCTTGCATCAGTTTAAAGCAGGTTAACTTCCTTTGAAAGAGTTCCCCTGGATACAAATTACCTCCATGGGATTAGGTTGTTTACGATTTATCTAAAGAAAAAAAAGCATCTAAGGAAAAAATGAAGTAAAGTGCTTTTCATTTAATTGGAGTTAAATAAACAAATGGTTTTGCTTTACAAATTTTCCCGCAGCCCAGGAAGGCCAGAGGTATAAACACCCTGAAGTGGTTTAAGACGAAGTCAAGAAAGCACAATTTTACTACCTAATCCACCCCCCACCCTAACTTTTCTATCTCATGAGTATCACTTTCTCCTTTTACTTATGCTCAAATGCAGCACAGCAGACCCCACCACAGGGAAAGTCTAGCTCACCCTCAGAGGCAGAGAGAAGACAACTAACCAGAGCAGGTGTATCTGCCAGCTCAGAGTGGGAGTGGGAAGGGCCATGAGGAAGGTAAAGGAGAGGCCAGGAACAGTGGGAGGCGTCCCCACTTCAACTCTGGAATAATGTGCACGACCTGGTTTCTTTACACTGAAGGGCAATACTGATAACCAGGAGATGGAGCTGCCTCCATTCAACGTTAACACATATTTACAATGTATTCCAATATCACAAAGGATAGAATTATATTTAGTCTAACTGAACACTATGTTATAAACTTTCAAAAGAGCCATCTTCCCTAAATGAAGCAACCCTAAGAGCAGGTAGACTAGGTGACTTCAAGGTCTCTTTTAATGCTGAAATTCTAAGATTATGAATTCCACAGCACTTATAACAAACACCACCCCAGACGGACTAACAAATACATTTTAATCCGGCATACCTGAAATATGTTTACTGAAGTACTGAATTCATTTCATATTTCCTCTAGGTAACTAAGGGTAATTATCTTAATATTTTGATTTCATACCATTCTTCATGTCACTTTGTTCTGCATAATTATAGCTTCCTGTGTTCTGTGCTGTTATCACTCACACATCTGTCACACATTTATTTGACATTCTATGGATTTTCCAATAGGCATGACTAAAATTCCCATGCAGTTTGTATCAAAATGACATCCAATGACCGAAAAACAAAACAGTTGTGAGCAACCCCCGCTTTCCCAATCTCTAGTTTTTCTACTTTCCACAAACAGAAAAATTAAGCATCGGCCTACCTTGACACCTTCTTTCATGCAGTAGATCTGCAGCGCGCTCACACCGTCTGAGAATGGGTGAATTTGCAGATTGAATGGAGGGGACCGTCTTTCTCGTTCCTTGAAATACAAGGAAGGATGTAAGGGAATTTTAAAAAAAGGAACAAATGATTAAACACTAAACCAGTGGTCTGTTATTTCACAGTTTATCAGGGTGATATTTGGTAAAACAAACCAACCAACCAAAATCCCTCAGGATGTTCATGCTTAAATTGAATGGAAAGACCTGATTAGTTAACAAAGGTATGGAAGACAATTCGCAGACAGTGTCATCCACTCTTACAGACGTTTTGACCAGGGAATGTGGGAAGTGGAGTTCCACTTTAAACTATACGGATGTTTAGCTCTGGTTTCACCAACAGTGATCTTTCGACCATGAAGGTTTACAGCAGCTCACAGACTGCTGCCTATCAGTCCGCTCAAGCTTCCTGAGTGGGATGTGCGGGCTACCACAGACAACGTGTCTTCTCTGAGGCACACAACTGCTGCCTCTAGCCAGACCCAACTTGAAATGAACTCAAGAAGAAATTGCTGGCAAAATAAGAGATCTCAAATGGGAATTTTTATTACCCTTTACAGTTCAACATATAGTACGTTCATTCAGATACTGAGCCAGATTCTGCCTGATACAATCAAAATCTGGTTTGATTGATACGTTTTATTTAAAAAACAAAAACCAAAACAAAACAAAAAACTTCTGAAATAGGGTCTGCTTAACCAAATATTTCCCCAAATAAGTTACTTGCTTCTTAGCCTTTGGCATAAGTGCATTATAGACTAAAAAATGTTGACTGATCAATTCAAGAGTCTAATGATAAAAGAGTTTCATCTATTGCAATTTTGAAATACAATTCTTAAGGTGACACTTTTTTTGAGTCAGAATTCAATAAAGGATGGAAATGATTATTTAAAAGCAGTGAATCACTGATGAAGTTTGAAATCTCTTATTTAAATGATTTAAAAACTATCCATTAGTCTTGTTTACAAAGGCAGTGACAGTGTTTAAACACATGGGGGTCTCAGCAGACAATTCTGAGTTGTACCAATGCTTTGCCAGTCACTAATCACAGGACTCTGGCAAGGGAGTCACTTCAGTGGCCTCCTGCATGAAATCTCAGCTGTGGTTGTGAGGACCAGTGAGAGTATGCAGCTGAAATGCGTGATTCAGCACCTCACACAACGGACATGCTCAGTGTATGTTAACTGTTACGATTATTTAGTATCATCATTTCCTTACTTCTAGCTCTAGGTTTCGGAACTCCAGCAGCTCATTCTGGTCTCTGGCATCCTGCAGTTCCTGCTGTAGCCGGTGATTTTCTGCCTCCTGTTTTTCTATCTAATAAAGTAAATCCTCAGTTAGGTGAACACTGCCAAAACAACTATGCGAAGCAAGCATGGGTAACATTCACTTACTCAGTGAATAAATCATCTAGAGCATGAAAAAACAACTCCCAAGTACATGTGAATAAGGTAAGTCTTCAGCTTCCCTTCTCGTTATCCTTCAGTTGGGTTTTTTGGGTCATAGAGGGAAATTCTGGAGGACACACACCTCCGTTCATTGAGATGAAGTCTAGAGGCCCTGTGAAGAGTGAATCTGAGGGTACCCAGTGTGCCCTTGCTGTGGGTCAGGGACAGTGTCCTAGAACTAGATTTCATGCTTATACCTCTTCTTTCTGGAGTTACAAGTTGTTGGAAAAATACTTTAAAAAAACATCTCTAAAAATAAATAAAAATTAAAAAACAAAAACATTTCTGATCACATACAAATTTTACTGAATTCCCTCCTGAACTCTCTCTTCAAAGTGCTTTTCAACTTTCCCTTGCGGTACTTGCTGACCAGTGGTCACGTGCTGGCGCTGCACCTTGGATGGAGTTGACCACCCAACACAAACGTGCCTCGCCCTGTAGAAAGTGTCCGTGTCTGTCCACAGAGATCGACAACGTTCTGTGATCTGCAAAGGGTTTGGGACTGTCTTTGCTGTTAGCTATATGAGTGGGCCTTATGCCCAGTAACTATTTAAAATCTTAAACTTACAAATAAAAAGGAAAAAATGGGCTTTTTAGCATAGGATGAATTTGACTTGCCCAATTATACACACTTGAAGTAGCATGTTTCCCTTTATTGTCGTTTCGGTTGGTTTTTTTCTTTGCTCTTAAAATCTGAGCTCAAAATTCTGCTTTTAGCCTAAAGAAATCAAGACCAAGTGAAATCAGATGGAAGACATAATGGAAATGATTTTTTTGATGGTAAAGAGATGTAATAACACATTTTACTTGGGCATCTCTGAGACTACTAGAATCCTCTTTGTCTCGTAGCCTCCTGATATACAAACAGCACAGGAAGATAAAGATGGGAAAATACTGAGGTATCACATGACATTAACTAGTCAACTCGAGTTTTTACACTAGATTTTTGTGGTCTAGTAATTTTGAAAGTTTTTAGACGTTGAATTAGATAACAAAAAGAAATTCTACTTCCTTAGCATCTTGGATTGGGGTCAGAGATGGGATATTTGGGAAATTCCTGATTTCAGTGGTTAGTGCTAGCAATTAGATCATTGGTCTGCAGGTTGTAATTCACCGACCAGAGTCAATGTCTAATACAGTTTCTTTATGGGGCCCTGAACCTCTCTGGGAATAGAGTTCTCAGGCCTGGAAAAGCCACCTACTTTGTACACATCAGCTCTGCCTCTTGTCATGCAGAAAGTGAGATAGGGTGTCCTCACTCTGCCAGACCAGAGGGGACTCGGAACGAGTATTTGCTTTCTCTTCTCATACTTATAAGGATGTTATAATTTTCATTACTTGTCAAAGCTAGGAAATACTGTAGTAAATATGCAGTAAAAAGCTAGATAACTTTGGGTAGACCTACAGAATTATTTCCCTTATTCCAATAGGCTTTCAAATTGTTCTGTCAAGAATAATATAAGATTATTTTGTAATTTTTAATTATATTCCTTGGAAGATAAATAGCAAAGGAAAAGCCATCTTTGAACTTAAAATGATCTCTGTTATATGTCATTGCCCCAAATCAAAAACCTATTTTCAGACACCCAAAATGACACATCCACTGGGACTAAACCATGCTTTTGCAACTTGATTTGTTGAATAAAATCCTAGATGTACAGTTTTGTGCTCTGGAGGCATCTTGTAAAAAGTTCTCTTATTTAAAAAAATATATATATACACACATACACATAGCCAAGTTTAGCAAAAAGATTAAAGTGAGAACACAGTCTGTGATGGGTTGCAGCATGGCCTTGGAGTCATAATCTGTCACTTCCTTGCACAAAATAACAAGTCCTATATTGTGTGTTTTTTTGTAGATGGACAACCACATAGGATGCGTGCACGCATGGGTGTGTATATATATATGTATGTATGTACAGTATGTATACAGCATATATATATGGTTAACACATCAATAGGTTTCAGGGATCACACCCTTCTGCGTCGGCACAATGCCCAGCACAGAGCCATGCACACGTGCCACTCCACGGATGGCGATGGCGGTGACGGGGATGCGGTTGAGCACGCAGCAGGGGAGAGCGCAGCGCCAGAAAGCCTCCCCTTCCCCTAGCCCCTGTGCCACTCCTGAGAGGACCCCCTGCTGCTCCTGGATCTCTTATCATTTTCTCCTCTGCCCCACTAGGGTGTTGTGCCCGACATACCTTTTCTAAAAGCTCCTGGTTTCTCTTAATGAAAAGTTGTTTATCTTCTACCCAGTGTGAGTCCTGTTTGACAAAGAATATCGCGCAGTCAGCATTTCAGAGTGGCACGGGAGAGCCTGTGCTGTCAGACCACTTTGCCAGAGCTGTCGTCTGTCTCTTCACCCGGTTTTGTTTGCCTGCCGGCGACTGGTACACGACACCCACCCCTGCCAGCTCCTCATTCAGAGACACTGGGGCCAAAAGTTGCCAGGAAAATTGAACCCCTTTTTCCTTGTCACTCACTACCTCTACCTTTTTTCAGTCTGAATAATCCAGGACCAGCCTTTTGGGGACTCAGAAGTGACCACACAGGCAAAAAGTGACAAGGGTCAGAATGCACACAGGCTAGATACGTATGGATGGAAAACATTAAAATGCAGAACCATAAATTAAAATGCAGCGTAGAGGCAGAGGATGTAGCTGGAGGGGGGGTCTTTGTCTTAGCGGTTTGTGAGCTCTAGGCTATTTGTACAGGGCTCTTCTTCCTCTGGCATTCTCTCTCTCTTGCCCAACCTCATTCGCTGTTGTAGCTGGGTTCACGCTCTGGCCAGAAAAACACCAGGGACAGAAACATAGAGCTGAACATTCTGACACCACTCGAGAAAAGTCACTGTGAAGAGCCAAGCTGTGTCCTGGGTGCGGCCCATGCACAGGGTGATCTAGAGGAAAGTCACATGGAACAGCCAACAACCAAATGCCTACCTGCCCTTTCTGAGCCAGAGTTGCCTCCAGATCTTCAATTTTGGCTTTATACCTTAGCACCTCCGCTTGGAGCTGTTCTTGGGCCTAGTGAAATCAAAATTCCAGAACTCAGTAAGTAAAGTGGTAATTCAATATTTTCCTTCCCCTTAGCTTCCTTGATTAGACAAGGTAAAAAAAAAAAAAAACAACAGAGAGAAAAAATATTTATAACCAAAGAATTTCTTAAAACTATTTTTATGGTCTAAATTCTTGCTTAAAACTTACAGTGGCTCCCTTTGGATTCAGTGCCATTGGATTAAAATTCAAATTCTTTAGCCTGGGGCTTGAGGTTTCCCATTTTATGTCCAATCTTTTCTCACTAGTCATGAGCACCACCAAGGCTATCCCCTACCTGCTGGTGACTGCCTCCTATCTTTACGCTCTGTCACGCCCTACTTCTCTCTCGTTTGAACACGTCCCCCTGCTGAAAAGCCTTCTCCTGTTTTGCTTCTCCAAAACCTTCCCATTCTTTCAGAGCCAACTTTGTGCCCTGTATCTAAATCCAAACCTATGCATGTATGTACGCGAGTGTATATGTACCTGGCAAGTGTCGTGTGTGGGTGTATCAATAGTGCTGAACGTTGACCTTGCATGGAGCAACCCTACTTCACTTAGCCTGGTAATTTTTTCTTCGATTCTCTTGCATTCTCTCTGTATGCCATCATATTTTCTACAAAAAATTAGGTTGCTTCTTCTGTTTGTATTCTGCCCATACACATATCTTTCTCTATTCTTATCTGGATAGGTTCTATAAAGATGAATAAAGTCAGCACTGGTACATATCCTTTCTTTATTTCATATTGCTTTGAATTGTTAAATATTCTATTTACCTTGATCAGGTTAAAAAATATTCCAAGCTTAATTTGCCAAGAATTATTTTAACTTTGAATGGGGTGTTGAGTACACTCTATTTTTTTCTTATATCAAAATTTTATCTTTTGTTTTCATTGATACTATTCCATCTACATTATCTTTTTTCATTTCTTTTCTAAAAGATTCTATTTATTTATCTTTAGAGAGAGGGGAAGGTAGGAAGAAAGAGAGGGGGAGAAACATCAATGTGTGGTTGCCTCTCGTGTGCCCCCTGCTGGGGACCTGGTCAGCAACCCAGGCATGTGCCTTGACTGGGAATCAACTGGCAATCCTTCAGTTCCCAGGCCAGCACTCAATCCATGAGCCACATCAACCAGGGCTCTTTTTTCACTTCTACTTCTTTAAATTTACTCTGTTGCTCTTTTTCTCACATTTGTTTCATTTTAGACTATTTTGCTTTGACCAGTAAAGCTTTGTTTTGTTTTTTATTTTGTTTTGTTTTACTTTAATGGCCAGAGATCACACTCAACCTTTATTTACACGAGAAAAGTGAGATGAGAGGAAGAACTGGTTTCTACAGCATCACCCCTCCAAACCACAACGCACATGTTATTACTTTAACTGACAATCCTATGTTGGGAAGAATGCTTCACAAATGCTGACACAGAAAACTGCAACTATTAAGAGTTTGGGGGCCTAAAGATGAAAGCACACACACAGATACCTTTCTAATGACTACTTGCCTATGTGTTCCAAATCACAGTGGCTTTTTTAAGCACGTTTACTCACGTGTGTGTGTGCATGTATATATGCTGCCATTAAAAAATATATAACTATAATATCTATTCTTTCCCAATATACAATTAACAGCAGGCCCTCCAACACTCCTCAGAGGGTACTGCAGACCCTCTGGATAAGACGTGGGATGAAACTACTGGTGGTCACACTCCTCCTTGCCCCTCGTTAATTACTCTATGGGGCGTTAAGGCATGGTGGTTATGACTCTGAACTCAGAAAGACTAATTTCGTATCCTAGCTATAATCTAAGCTACATATTCTGATTTTAAGCAAATTAAGCTTCATTTAACTTACTATTTCTACTTCCGTAAAAAGAAGAGAATAGCATCTAATACACGGGGTTGTTTAAAGATTGCATGAGATAGGAGTAAGCGCTCAGCACAATGCCTGGAACACAGCAAGCACTAAATAAATGTTACATATTAGTATTGTGTGTGTTCACTTTTTTTGAAATAGGCTTATGAGAGGCAGCTGTGAAAAATGGAAGGAACATTTGACCCAGTGAGATTTGAGATGGAATATCAGTTTCCCATTTTGCTTTGAATGGTACCCTGCTATCCTGTGTAATCTTAGGCAATTTAGTTAACCTCTATAAGCTTCAAATTCCTATTTTATAAAATACCTGCCTTAGAGAGCTGTCACAAGGATTAAATGAGATTCTGACAGTAAAAATTCTTGGTAAGCTGTCAGTGTAATGCAGCGCACTTATTAACTAAGAACAGAAACTGGCTAATCATTGCTTTTGAAAGATAAAAGGTTTTTTTCCAAGCAAGAAACTAAAAAAAATGGATTAGCAACATTCAATATTGTCTGGCTTTGAAAATGTTAAGTTTTCAAATAGCAAGGTACTCAACTATCTAAAAGGGACAGAAGCATCGATCCACACTGGTTCTAATGTCTCCAGATCCAAGGTTTGTTGACATGAAAGACACAACAGTATAAGAGCTGCAGAGGAGAGAAGGGTCCATGAAAAGCTACCCTATTGATATTCTTATGTCCGAGATTCTTTTATGCTGTGACCACTGCATTAGAAAAGCCAATTCCAAGCACTGTCCGCAGATGCACACTGACCTTGGCCTCTCTCTCAGCGTCGATGATGCCCCCAGTCTGCTCCTGCAGGAGGGCGTATGCTCTCTGGAGGGCCTGGTATTCTTTCGTTAATTGTCGAAATCGTAGCTCAGATTCTTCAGCTGCTAAACTCTTGACGTGGAGAAGCAAACAGTCAAGAAATAATCATGTTAGTTCCAGGTCCTGTGTTCAATGTGAAATATTCCACTCTTTAAAGAGAAGTTAAAGGTTTGTTTGGTTTTGAATCCTGTGGGATGTGTTCTTAACTCTAAAGTATGGGGATGGACAAAAATTTCATACTACTTTAGGGGAGGGGGATTGGGAGGCTGGGTAAAAAAGGGGAAGGGATTGAGAAGTACAGACTGGTAGTTACAGAACAGTCATGGGATGTCAAGTACAGCACAGGGACTCTAGTTCATAATATTGGAATGACTAGGTACACTGCCAGGTGGCTGCTGGAAATATCAGGGGACACTTTGTAAAGTACGTGATGTCTAACAGTGAACACCTGAAACCAACACAAAATAATACTGATACTCTGGTTTCTCTTCAGATCATATAAATCTCTTGCCTTTTACAAAATAATATTGAAAGTAAAGTGTACTTGAAAAATAAAATTTAAAAATACTGCAATACTGTCAAGATGGACATCTCAGAAATACTTAAGTATTTATTTTAACAAAAGAAGCACTTGATTATTACCTATTTGTGCTTGGGTTACAGTGAATTTTGGATCTAAATGAGAAGAATTTATACCCTGATTACAGATCCAAATTTGAGGAAATGATATTCAGAGTTGTAGCCTCACCTTCTTTCAATACATTCATATCCAACAACTTCTTCCCCAGATAAATTGTGAAAAACACAATTTTACAATCACCAGGAAGTTCTGTGAAAAACATGCAGATGTGGGGGTTCCACCCCACAGATCCTGAGTCAGGAGCTGTGTGGCAGAGTCTGGGAGTTTTCACTGTAGGTGACATCCCCAGAGGGTTCTGATGAAGGTGGTCTACAGCACACACTGTGTTAATCATATTTACAAGCTTTTTCTTCTGAGCTTGTTTCTTGGTTCACAGGTTCCCTAGCTGAAGAATTTGGAGCAGTACTTTTTATTTTGAAAGAAGTCTTCAGCTTACAGAGCGGGACTTTAGAAAAGTTTCTAAAAGGGCTATATGACACAGGTGAGCTATTTCTAAGAGGTATCAAATCTCAAAGTCAAGTGTGGTCTCAAAGTAGGTCACTATTATGAGATCATTTTGTGCTGTTCATAGAGGAGATAAGAAATGAAATGCTCCCCCACCCCACCCCTTAAAGGAAAGAGTCGGTGACGACATCCCAAAAGCCGAGAGAGGCGGAAAGGCTTACTTCATCCAGGTCATCGTCAGGAGTGGCTGGTGTCCGGTCGGTTCTGAACGATGCCATGGATGACGTCTCCGAGTCCATGGAGTCCTCATCATAGCCGATAAATGGGTCCAAAACAGGCCTCTGATGGAGGACAAGTACACATTTACCAACACAAGTAAACTGGGAAAAGCTGGCCAGTTATCAGAGTGCTGTCGGTTGGCACACGTGCCTGTGATTGTAGATGACCTGGACCGTTTAACGCTTCTCCGATGAAATACAAATACAGATATGACCATAACAATTCCAAAAAAGTTTGACCCATATTATGCAATTTCTGATGTTTTTGGAAGGTTAATTAATATTGGCTCTCTTCATGGAAACATCATAGCCTCTTTGATAGTATTTTTATATCATGATGAGCTTGTGTAACCTACTCCTTCCGGTATTTAAAAATCATCAAAGGACTCTGAAAGTCCTAGCCTCTATGTAAAGAGGATTATCAAATCTTAAGTCTTCTCATCTAATTCCATATCCAAATCAAATGACATATCAGATAGAAATAAAAATCAAACAGATAATTTACATAAAACTTTGTGTTTTATTATTTCATAAGAGGCTACAGAATTATTGATGAATTGGGACTATCATTATCAATAATGCCATCCAAGTGAATAAGAAAAACATATTAACCGATTATAGGGTGGGTATAGATGCTAATATTATTCAGTGGGAGACGTAAAATCACGTGTCATTTATATGTTCCAGGAGCATGACTCTCCAACTGTCAGACAACCCTTTCTATGCCAAACGCTGTGGCTTCTGAACTCAGAGGGTCCTGTGAAAGCAAAACCTTTCAGGTCCAAGCTCACAGCATTTCTGGACCTCTGAGAACTGTCAAGAGAAGAGATTTTCTTTTATCAAATAAAGCCCATGGTTTGCTGAAGGTCAGGACCATCTGATTTATCACATCTCTGCAGGGAGATTTCCTGGCACGCCTCACTTCTCGCGCTGTTTGTGACAAAAGCCCGCTAACCCAGATTCCTCATTACCTTAATTGGCTTGGAGCTTCTTCTGTGCCTTCTCCTGCGGATGAGCTTTTCCCGGTCCTGGAAAACAAGTGAAAAAGACTTTCCAGATCGTGAGTTCCTACATTGTTCCCTCTAGGTTTTGTCGTTGTTTTGTTCTGCACAGACAGAGTTGTTTTTCCCCAGAGGCATTACTTATTTCGATTTAAAATAAGATTATGTTTTGTAAATTTCAGCAACTCTTGGGTGTGAAGCTTAACTACTTTCCAAGTGAGAATATTCTCCAACCTTCCCTGATCGTCTCTGTGGATCTGAGAGCCTCCCCATCAGGACGTGGACTGTGTTTCTAAATCAGAATCCTTTGTTTTACGCTTGAAGATCAAGTAGCTCTGAAAATATTTACTCTTATTCTCCCAAAGCACAATTCTTTAGTTTTCTCAGACCCAAAATTACTTTAAATTTCAGTGTTGAAAAAAATGTCACTTCACAGTAAAGTCACGCCTTATTCTTTTCATGTGATCACCTGAAAGGCACGGAGAGTTACCTGTGGCCATTCCTGGGACCTTTGTTCTCTCTCACCTGCAGCCTCTGAGGACGGGAGCAGAGCGTCCTGGCCGAAACCACGTAGGGCGGCGATTTTCAACCCTTCTCACCTCACGGCACACAGAAACTACTAAAATTCTGTGGCACACCAAAACTACATTTTTTTCTGATCTGACAAAAAAGTAGGTATAATTTTGATTCATTTACACCGAACAGCTATTTGAATCTAAGGGAAAAGAGGCAGTGCCCCTGACTCAATAGTCGTTGCATGTTTTAAAAATTCCTGGGGCACACTGGTTGACAGTTGCTGAGCTAGTAGCTTTTCAGGGGTGGAAGGAGGTGGGAGAATACTCCCTTGAAGTTTCTGGGAAACTCAAAGAATGTCTAGAAATCATGTTTTTGTGGTTCACTGTAGTGAATAGAGATACCCTGGAAATTTGGTGTTCATATACTAAGTATTTCAGGTATTTACTGTACAAATTCAAAGGCAGATAAAATAAGAGACATTTATGTCTTTGAGAGTCTGGTTGACATGCCTAAGGTGTCAAAACTTTCTAAGAAACATTTAGCTTAAACGCAGAATACTTAAACCCCAGCAAATTCCTAGACTTATGAATCTGTGAGGTTTATTGGTTCTGAAGGGTGTGGAGGTACAGGAGAGACACAGCACTTTGGAAGGCCACTCATGAAAAATAATCTGGTTTAAGCCAGTGATGTTAACATTTCTGATTTCTCACCTTTATATGTAAAAATATTTTAATCATGTAACTTCAATATATCTGAAACTTTACAAAAAGTATGCTCAGAGCACCGTCCTAATAGAGTATATGTATTATAACATGTACTCAACACAGAAAATTTTAAAAGGGTGAACCACACATAATTATAAACAAAAGTTATCATCTTTTCTTCCCTCACTGGCGATAAATCACCTTGCTCCCTCTACTCCGGAGACTATTACCTAAATCCCCCATCTCCAGCTCCTCAACTTTCTGGGTCTGGGCGTGGTCCAGAAGTGAGAGTGAAGAGATGCCGTTCGCAGTATAAAGACAAAGGGGCAAAGGGGAAGCCCAAAGGCATGAAAGGTGTTAATCCAGATGCAGACGGGAGCAATAACTGCTCTACCTGCTTCTCCGGGTACTGAAGTTACGGTCAGCGGAGCTGGACTACTTGGGATGTCACTGCTCATTCAACAAATATGTATTAAACTGCAACTAAGTGCTAGATGGGCACTGAATTAGGTGCTTGGAAACAAGACACATATAGTCCTGTTACTGTAGGTAAAATATTTTATCTCTGAGTCTCAGGATTTCGATACTGGAAGGCAATTATAGGATATACCCACACAACATACCCACACATATTGCAATGCAGTTGAAAGTTTCATGTGCTTTACAGCTATTATCTGTGTTACCAGATAAGTTAACAAATTAATTTATTATAATAACTGATGATCAGATTATAATTGAAAAGAAATAAAATAATTTAATGATACAAAGTATTTCTGGAATACAGTCTCTTGAACCTGTTTACATATTGAACACACGAACTTGGGCCTTTGAGGCTCATCTGAAATTATTAAGTGCTTCCGGTGTGTGTTGATACCTTGGCTACTTGTTCTTGGGAACAGCTGAGCATTCACAGGTTGATCAAGACCTACCCTGGTGAGCTCATCGATAATGTTCTGTTGTTCAATGACCTGAAGTTTTAGAAACTCTGTCTCTTGTTCTTCGTTAGCTTGATCGAGGTCATTCAGAGATTTTAACTTCTTCAAGGGTGGATGGGTTGTTATTTTTTCTCTCTGGATTGCAAAAGAAGAATGTACAGGTGGAGACTTAAAAAACATCAAACTTTAGTAGTTAACATAAAATATCTGTAGAAACTCTATGAGGCTCTAGCTGAATCTGAAAACTGCCCAGCTTCAATACACACACATCCCAAGTAAAACTCTCAAGGACAATACATTTTATCTGCTGTGATAAAGTAAAATCCTTGGGAAAGTCTGTTAAGGAGCGCATTAGAATATGACTTACCCACCCGTAATACAAAAGATGGAATCTATTCCCCAGCTACCATGAGAGCTCTTAGAAGATGAGGGATACCCACTGCTCAGCTCTGCAGAGAGCACCTTAGAGGAATTCTTGGAAGGAGGTGCTGTGGCTGAGAGTTATGTTGAAACCGTCCTTCCCTATCTCAGTCCTTTTGAAGAGTGTGCAGATTCCTGGAAGCACTCCTACTGTTCTGCAAATTTAGAAACCCCATAAAACCCAGAGCCAGCAACCTTTAAAGGTTCCTTGCTTACATAAGGGAAAAATCCAAGCTTTCATATGTAGCATTGTATTAAAAAAAAACAAAAACCCAGCGAAAGAGCATGAAGTCAGGTGACTGGTGTAATGTAAGAAAGGCAGCTGCAGCTTCGCCAAGTCTGGGACCCCCACCATTTCTGAGTTTTCCTTGGTAATGGCTTTCAGCTTCTCCTCCATGCGTTGCAAAGACAGCATCAGCTCGTCATTTCTCTTGGCGAGGCACTTGTTCCTTTCCAGAAGAGGTTTGCATTGTTTTTCGGTTTCCCGCACGCGTTTCAACTGAGAAGACACAAGTTACAGTTTCTTCAAATGGCTTTTCATCAAATTCTTCATAATCCTCCAATAGTCAGTTACCTTAAAGGAGGCACTGCCGAGAATCTGCTTTTGGAAATGTTCCGGAAGAGCAATCGTACTCCTTGTTCCCCTCAACTCTTCCAGCCCAAGTACCTGGCGCTGCTCAGCCCCACCCCCACCCGCCCTGGGCCTCGCCGGCTCAAACACATAAAGCAGCTCATCGGAATCACACTCACTAAAGAACACAACCAGGACCCAAATCCAAGCCTGGTTGTCCCTGGAGCTCCTTCTTTCCATCAGAAATATTGCCAAGCCCCCTGACTCACACTAAAGCTTATTTTAAAGAGAGTTTCACTGAGGAAAAAACAAAACAAAACAAACTTCTGAAACTCTATGGATATTTGTGTTTAAGAATGACTAATGCTCACCAAGCCTTGGAAAAGTATGGTACATTGTTATTACCCACAGTTAACTGTGACCACACTGTGGTTTGCCTAGCTAGTCTAAGGCAGGGTTTTCAACCTCTGCACTGCTGACATCTGGGGCCAGATTTTTCTTCTGTTCCGTGTATTGTACGATGTTTAGCAGCATCTCTGGCTCGTGCCCACTAGATGCCAGGTATTGCCAAACCCATCTCTACTTGAAAAACACTGGTCTAAGTTTATGAATGTTGACATATGATAGCCATTAACAGTCCTTCCTTTTACTCTCAAAACTCTCTCATTTGGATGGCATATTTTAGGGTCACCCTATACATAATGAATTTCCATGTTCAAGTTCTCATGATTGCTTCATTCATTTCATGCTAATGGTTCTAAATAGCAGTGTGCATTGCGGGAGGGGTTACAAAAAGAAGGAAAGTGGAGGGATGTGTCAGAAATATCCGAAAAGACTGTTTCAAGTACTCACTCCTGTTTATGAGAACTTACCATTTTGGGAATTGCTGGGATAAAAGACTTAGTTACTTACAAATACTGTGAAAAGCTCTTGTGATTCTAAAGCAGTATCCTCCAACTGTATCCTAATTGCCATTTGAAAACTCCCACTTTATATCAAAGGTCAAAACTGAATGTATATTTTACAAATATTCTCATTTAACCCTCAGTTTTGACCTTTAGTGCCTAAGCATTAATATTAAATATTGAGTACATGTAAGACAAATAAATTATTCCCCTAGGTTCACTACGTTAACCTGTGTCTCTTTTCTGGAGGTCAATGCCAAGTGTTTTAAATATTTAAATTTACCTGTATATGCTATTTATAGAAAGTAGCAGATAAACAGAAAGAAAAAGAAATATCTGTAATTCTAATGTACCATACATCAATAACCACAGTTCCATAGTACCCAACAAAATGGTTCTTTAAAAGATATTCTTTACATACAACAGAGAAAGGTTGAACATTATACATTTTCATGAAAGCACTAAAGACTGATATAGTTCAATTAATATCAGACAAAAATTTTATGTAAAGTATAAATATAGATAAAAAGTTCATAATGATAAGAGGGCCAATACACCAAAAACATATAACAAATCTTAATTTATATGCATCTAGTACCATCATTCATATATGTGTGTGTATATATTAAAATTGACAGAACTAAGAAAGAAAATGCATGAATCTATTAGAAGAGCAAGCAGACCAAAATATCAGTCAGAAAACAGAAGACTTAAAATAAGACTATTAATAAACTTGACTCAAGCCAATTCTAATAACTGCAGATATACCTTCTTTTCATGTGAACATGGGATATTTCTAATATTGAACACATGCTGGAGCCATAAAGCAAATATCAACAAAATTTTAAAGGAACGAAATAATACAAAGTACGTTCTCTGACTGTAGTGGAATTAAGGTAGAAATCAATAACAAGATACTGGTAACTCAAAAATCTGAAAAGTTTGGAAATTAAGCCAAACCCTTCTAAGACATCTAAAATTTTAAAGAAGAACTTCATGATATTAGAAAAGATGTGCATTAAATAGCAATACATTATGACATAAAAAAATGGGATAAAGCTAAAGTCATACTTAGAGAAACATTTATGACCTAAAATGCATATATTTGAAACAAGGAAAGGCTGATAGTAACTTTTTTATACCAACAGCCACCATTAAGAGGGTAAAATATGGAAAACACAAGTAAAAAAGTAATTTGGAGGAAACAGATACTATACAGTGGAGAAAACTCCAAAAATATTAATAGCTTCAGAGAGATAAAAAAGGATTTAACATTCACAAAACAAGAATGGGAGTCTATAAAAAACAGACCATCCCAAGAAAAAAAAAGGAGCTAAAACATAAAAATTTAAAAGGCAACTAACCTAGGAGATACAATATCCAAAACAAACAAACAAACAGGAATTACAGAAAGAGAGACCAGAGAAAATGGTGGAATGGAAATCAACAAAAGAATTAAAGAGTCCGGACAAGATGGAGGCATAGGTAGACACCCTGTGCCTCCTCGCACAACCAAAAGAAGGACAAGAACAATTTAAAAAGAAAAAAACAACCAGTACTGACAGAAAATTGAACTGTTTGGAAGTCCGACAACCAAGGAGTTAAAGAAGACACATTCATCCAAACTGGTAAGAGGGTCAGAGTCCGGGAGCCGGGCAGAGAGGACTCGTGGAAGGGGGCCTGGTGGACCCCAGGTGCGCAAGGCAGCAGCGGGTGGACCCAGCGAGGCAGCAGGTTGTAGAGGGGTGCGGCGCGGCTGGTCCCACATTCGCACACAGATAAACCAGGCCACAATGGGGAGCGAGACAGACCACACACCCCAGGGTCCCAGAACTGGGAAATAAAGCACTGGGAGGGGAGTGAAGGGGGGGAAATGGGACAACTGGAATAGCATAATCAATGAAATATATTTAAAAAAAGAATTAAAGAAAATTTCCCAGGATAAAAAAAACTATGAATTTCCAAATTAGAAGGGCCACTGAATGCATAGCACAATCCTATATCAAAAAAAAAAAATAACCCCACACACCAAGTCATATTCTTATGAAATTTCAGAACTTGGGGACAAACAGAAGATTCTGCATGCTTCAGAGAGCAAAAAACAGGTCACTTACAATAAAATAAGAATCAAATGTCTTTGGATTTCTCAACAGCAACACCAGAAGAAAAAAAAAACAAGGAGCAGCAATGTAGTAATATCTTCAACATTTCTCTAAATTTAGCCAAACAATCAAGTATGATAGAAGAATGAAGATATTTTTAGACACTCCAGGACTCCAAAAATTTATATCCCAGCCATCTTTCAGAAGAATCTAATGAATGTTGAGCTTCACCAAAAGAAGAGAGGAAACCAAGAGAAGGGAAGACATGGAGGAAAAGAAAGAGGAGAGAGTTGAAGATAAACTCCAGGCAGGACGATGAAGGTGGATCCCGGGTTCATAACTGTGCACCAGGTTTAGAGGACAATGTCCAGACTGAGGCAGTGTTACTGAGACAGCCCTGACGAGGGCTGCCATCCTGGAATACCTGGAATACCTGCCGCCTTTTTAAAGGAGGACAGAACACCTAGTGAGCCTGGTTGCTACCTAGTGTTATCTATACCTAGCCTATCTTGACCATATGCTGATTGACCATATGCTGAGCTCCTGCTTTCTTCTCCCGGCCTATGACCTACATCATTGGATGACAGATAGAGCATATGCTCCTAGTCAGTGTGTCTCGGTCTTTAGCATGTATCAAAACCACTGCAGGACTTGTTATACACCAATTGTCGGTCCCTAACCCCAGAGATCCTATGCAGTAGGTCTGGGCTGAGGCCTCAGAATTTCTTACAAGAAAAAAAAAGTGATAACATATAAGCTACAGAGCAGGATAGTTTAAATACAAATATCCAAAAGATGGTATAAAAAAGTTTCTAAAGTTAGTAAGACAATGAAAACAGCATGATACGGGCAACCTAAAAAGGACAAAACACACAGGCCACCAGAAAAGCCAACAGATATTTGAAAAGCTACTCAACCTCACTTTTAAGAAGAAAAATAAAAGTGGAAATCACAATAAAACTACCACACCCAAGAAAATGATTAAAACGAACAATTATTTTTGCATTTTGGCACAGATGCAGAGAAACGACAACTCGCATACACGGCTGGTGGGAAGGTAAATCCTTGTAACAACTGTGGAAAACTGCTCGGTTTTCTACACTAACTGACGCTGACTATGTGCATACTCTGACCCTGGAGTTCCGCTCCCTGGTATGTTCCTGCCAGAAATGAACACGCTTTCTCACCAAAAACATGTTGCAGGCACAATTAACAGCTTAAAACGGTTAAGAAATAACATACATGTTTATCAATGATACAAGACTAAGAAAATGGTGCTGTGTTTATTGAACACTAGAGTATAAAAATGAACAAATATTACATGCCACACAATGGATGACTCTCACAAATGTAATGCTGACCAAACAAGCACAAAAGAGCAAATACTGTTTGATTCCATGACCAACTAATCTTAAAAACGGCGAGAGACACCAGTCATGATAGAAGTCAGTGTGGTGGTTAGCTTTCGAAGGGTGACTGCAGGAAGTGATCACAAGAAGAGGAGGTCTGAGATGCTGGTCATCTTCGACTTCCTCACCTGGTAGGGTTATATGGGTGCATCGCTTCGGGCGCATTTATGGAGTTGCGCCTTCATTACTTGTGCACTTTTTTGTTACACATCTAAAACATCACAGGTACTTCTATAACATAATGCTTCACAAGAAAAAAAAAAGAAAGAAAACATTAGAACTCACCAATTCATTTCGTTCATCTCCAAGCAAGGTATTCCTGTCTTCTAGTTTTCTTATAGTGGCATTCAACTCAGCTATTCTCTTTTGATTTCTTCGCAAATCCTATACATGAAAGTTAAAATGGATATTTGGTCAACAACACTTTTCACAAAGTTTTGGAATACAGCTCTTAACAGTAATAGGCTTAAGTCCTTTCATCTGGCTTACAAGGTGAGAGCAAAATGTTCTCTTATTCAGAGAGGAGCAAATACTTACCTTTTTTAAGCCCTCAACATTTACCACTTGGATTTAAGAATGTCTAGTTGAAACTGCAAGTGAATTTCATGTGGCAGCTACTCCCTGGGGCCCTGACTCCTGGCGGGGGGAGGTCTTTGGACCAGTTTATTGAATCTGTGAGCTGTGAGACACAGTGATGTTGTGATTATATGAAGTTCAAGGAGCACCCCTGTGTCGTGGCTACACATTGCTTCCCATAGCTGAGACAGATGCCTTGCTACAAAACGTAGCCAAAGAAGGGACAAAGCGCTAGGCAGAGATGGGATTTGTAAAATCCTGCACATTTCTGGAGAAGACGGTGAGAGTGAGAAGGCTGGTGCATGACCTTCATGCATAAAAGGAATATTTTGCCCAGAGCAACTGGCTTGCCAACTGGCATAACTGTCATGGATCGCCTTCCACACAGCAGTCACAGCTGAATTCTGTTCTGTAGAGTCCATAGGACCATTATTACCATACACTTGCAATTCCATTATCATCTTGCATTTTGATCATTCTGTATTGTTGACAAGGCAGTTTCTCACCCATTACATGCGTAGCTCACAATAGCCTAGAGGATGCAACAGAACAGGTAAGACTCGTGGAGGTCATAACTTGTTCAAGGTCTCGTGGCCAGTATCAACAGATCAATAGCTAATATGTATTAAATGCTAACTGTGTGGCAGACACTGTTCAACATTTCACATTTCAATCTTCTAAACCTGAGACCAGCCTATGGAGTACCACCATTGTCTCTGTTTTACAGATGAAGGAACTCTGAGCAGTGAAATCATTTGCCTAACAATAGTAAATGGCAGGTCCAATAGTAAATGACAGATCCAGGATTTGAACTAAGGGGTCCGACTCTAGAGCCTGTTCTATTGACAATGTTGCTACACTGCATGCAGGCAAGTGTCAATGATAAAACTAAGATTCACACCTGCTAAATCCTAGAACTGCAATTTACACCTGCTAAATCCTAGAACTAAGATTTCCATCTGCTAAATCCTAGTTCTGCAGTCTCTGTATCACTGACTGGGATAGAGATATCCTGAATACCGACTCATAAATTATTCATTACTTGGTTCTAAGTACTACTTTGGAACCTGTCTCTGTTCCTCAATAATTCATTTTCATCTTTTTAGCAGCTAAATAATTTGAAAGGTATAAAGTATGAAAGTCAACTATATATAAGCTGATTGCTACTGCTGTACTTCTGAGAATAATTTCTCTCATAAAACGATGAAAACCCACACAAATAATTGGCAAGTTTAATCAGACTAGAAGCGTTCAGAGGATAATATAAATGCTTTAGTCTTTCATAGTTACACATTTTGACCCCTGGATATGATAATCATCTTTACCAATTTCCAGCCCAATTGATCACGTGAGGGAAAATTACCAGCCTTGGCAAGAGGCAAAGCCTTTTCATCCAATTTATGATCCTTTATAATAAATAGGCTGAAGTTTGGATAGGTATCGATGGCTCAAAAAATTCTGTGAAAGATTTTTAAAAGATCTGTAATTCTCTTGTGATCTGCTAATGCAGTGTGTACCACTTGGCTGTCTATGAAATCAGAAAACCTCGCTCCCAAGATACTAGCGGGTTTTACAGGAGGAGATAGAATTGATTTCTTTGTAGCAAACAGGAAAAGAGCTTCAATGAAAAGGAAAACTTGGGAGCTAAATAAAAGGCGATCGCCGAGTGCTCAGCTCCGACTGGGACGGACTCACAGGACTGCCGCAGTGCTCGGAGCCGTCCCCCGCTCTCCCCGGGACCTCGCGCTTCGGGCTGCTCATGCTGCACTCCGCCTCCTTGACCAGAAACAGCTGCTCGTCCAGAGCCTCCTTCTGCAGCTGGAGCTTCTGCACGTAGCCTGTCTGCGTCTCCAGTTCCTTCTCCAGGGAAAAGATGATCCTGTCCTTGGCTTTGATTTCATCCATCTGAATTAAATGACACCCAGGACATTTTCTTTAACAATGCTGTGAAGAAATGTATTTTTACGATGGCATGAGGTTAACTTCTCTCTGCTGACTGTTATGGAAGAAGGTCAACGCTATTGAAAGAAGGGCTATCCTAGGCTAATTAGGTATCACAGAGAGTAATTTATTTTCTCTCAAGTAGGTTCTGTATAGATGCTTTGACTCAATATAGTGTTGGAAGTGGTCTGGGTTGGGTGCATGTGGAAAGAAAAGATGCACTTTAAAACAGACCATTATCAACAGGTCATTAGTGTTGATAAAGGCAGATACTACATACACCGTGTTTCCTGAAACAGTATTTGACATCACCTCCTCTTTGGAGGAATAGCCTTTGAGTTCAGTTCAAACAGCAATGGCCACTAGGAGGAGGCTGTTTGTAACTGAAGAAGCTGCAGATTTCCGAGGAACCTAGTTATTTATTTCCAGAGGCCACTATGTTTGCATTCAGGCTATGAATCTGGAATGAGGTTCTTCCGTGGTTCCTGTCATCTAGCTCTTCCCATTCCTATCCGAGTTTCAGGGCAGCCAATTCTCAGCAACCATTTTACCCTTACTGTCAGGAAACCCTGGCTGGAACAAGACCAGGGATGGGAAACACCGAGTCACGGCAACACTGTTTTCCCTCGTACACCCGTGGGATGTATTCATTGAACCCAGCACTCATCTCTGCGGAGCCTGGGCGTGGCCTCAGAAATCTTTCTCAACAAAAGGCCTGTAAGCACTCATTATCAATTGTTCAGTGTTCCACTGGACTGAAATGCTTTGGCCATCCCTGGATGAGGCCAAGTGGGGTGTCTGTAAATAATGTTTGAAGACAGCATGGCCATCCGGTAAAACCTTTCTTCTCATTTCATTATATTTGATGTGAATATTCAAATTGAAGGTAGAGAAAAGACATTTACTATGAGCAACATTATACTCTTCTCTTTATAAAGATGCCTCCTTATAATAACAAGTTACTTTGTATAAATCTTTCTTTGCTGTGTTCCTTACAACAACAAAAGGACAAACACTGTGTTACACAGTCATGTATGTCCCACATGTAAACATCTTGTAAACATCTGTGAGCTGCTGCCTCCAAGTCACACGGTGAAATTTTAAGTCAATTTTGGGTGGCCAATGGGCTAAATTCTGTGATAGCATCTGGTAACTTGGTGAGGAATTAAACATTGTCTTGTTAATTTGGGAATAAAAGCACTGTCTTTAGTCTCTACCTCCTCCTAGAAGATCAACTCCAACATTACTCTTTACTGAGTGGCACATTCATTTGTCACAACTGTCATCCATGCTGTTATTTACAGTTTACCAGCGTTCTAGATACACATGCTCCTAGGTGGTCTTGATGCACCCTGCCCAGCTACATTTGCTGGGGAATCATTCCATTCCTGCTTCTATAATCATCCTCATCATCCCCATCTTCATAACTGAAATTTATTCATCTTCTACCACAGTCACAGCATTAAACTCAGAGCTTTACATACCTTATCTCATTTTATTAACAATCCTTTTCTATAGGTTCTGTTATCACCATTTCAGAGATGATGAGTGAGGACTGAAAGGGTTAACTCAGTCATAGCCATTTGGCTAATTGGTGAAGCCTGATTTTAAATTCAATCTTCTGATTTCAGAGTCCATTCTATTAGATTCTATGCTATAGTGACTCCAAGATTATTTCTAGCATTTCTCCCAGTGGTTTTCTACAGGATATACCAGTAATTAGTGTTGAGAAATTTCTATATACACAGTAGGTATAAGGATGAGCTGTGGACTCTGAATACCAAACTCTTCCACATTTCTGTTCTTAGATGGAAATGGAATACATATAATATATACATTCTGATATATAAATATATATATATATAATATATTCATATATATATACGAATTTCCAGGGGAAATTTTCTTGACAGAACTGCTCCCATTTCTTTCCCTTCCAGTTACAAAAATAGAGCTGGTGGTGAGGTTAGAAACAGGATAAGAAGAAGGTGAAAATTAAAGGTGCATCTGTATGACTGAAAACATTTACCAAGTTATTCGGTTTGCACCCTATTTTCGAAGCACTCTTCAGGTAGCTTAGATTTTATATTGTTATTAAGGGGGATTTCATGTCTATTTCAGCAATATGCTGATGAAAGAAAAGTCATGGAAAAAAAACTACATATCAACAAGTGGATGTACTTGTAGATTTTACATTGAAAACCATCAACAGACAAAACTATTTAATGTAAAGCTTCCTTTTCATTTACCTACCTGCTGACTCCTGAGTTCACAGGGCTGATTTCTTCTAATCAACCACTGTTGTTTCAAAAACCCAAAGGCAGGGCAGAGACCAGTATTTCTACACTGTGTTTGGTCTCTTCTGTCAACCAGTACAATGGAATGAATTGCAGAAAAAGAATTTGAAAAGTGTGGTAAAGGCAACATTTTATAGTCACAATGTATTGCAGTACAAAGAAAATTACACATGTTTAGTTTTCTAAAATGTTCTATGGTAATCACTTTTTACTTAAAATAGAAATCCTAGAGATTGAATCCAAGGAACATAATTAGAATTCTTAGAAAATAATTGCTTAGAACTAGTAGACACAAGACTGAAAGTACAGTTTTTTTTCAAGAAATAATTGTTCTTAGAGAACTATAAAGTACATTCTAACAGGTGATGGTTAATTTGATAAGATATAACTAATGTTAAACATTCTGAGTATATACACGTAAGCGTTTCTTCTAAAATAATTAGACAAGGTCATTCTAGGCTTTTACGCAATAATGTACTTTGTTTTCATTTTAGACGTAGTGAGAGACAGATGGCTTTGGTCATGCATATTTTTATGTGCATGAACCAAACTCTATAGGGGTTGGAGTAAGTCTTTGAACTTGATAATAGCATATTTAGGAATAAGCTACATAGGAATGACATCCAACTGAGAAATTATAATGACCCCTGTTTATTTGGGGAAAATTTATTTTTTAAAATGGGAATTTTATAGTTCCATTGCTTTCCACATGGTTCCTAGAAAGAGGACTAGTGAGTCACACAGGATGTTCCCGTAGCTACCCCTCTCAGATGTCTTAAAAGTCACAGAAACATCCCTTACCCTTGTAAAAACCCATTTACAGCCCTGGCTGGCGTAGCTCAGTGGATTGAGCACGGGCTGCAAACCAGGCATCGCGGGTTCAATTCCCAGTCAGGGTACATGCCTGGTTGCAGGCCACGGCCCCAGCAACCGGCCCCCAGCAACCGCACATTGATATTTCTCTCTCTCTCTTTCTCCCTCTCTTCCCTCTCTAAAAATAAATAAATAAAATCTTAAAAAAAACCCATTTACATTTTTATAAATGGGAAAGCACATGAAAGCATGCTGATTTTGGACAAGCTCATAATTTAGAATACTTTACAGACATCCAAGAAAACAGGAGTTATTGAGTAGGTACTCTCCACATATACTGGGCTGGAGGAATCCAGTTTTTATAAGAAAGGTGATCCAAAATCTTTTACATTTTATGACTCTGTCTGTCTGCCTACCTACCTACCTATCGACCTATCTTGTATTTTGGAGAGAACACAAAACAAAGGTGAGTGTATAATCCACCTGCGAGAAACATCTGAAAGAGCAAACCCGTGGCACCCTGAAACCCTGGAAAGAGAACGGTTCTGCACTGGGTTACTAACCAGCCTCCGAATATCCCGCTCGGACTCCCACTTGATCTTGGAGATGGCTTCCTGGTGGGACTGATGCTCACTCCTCAGGTCCCCAGCCTTGATTTTATCCGCTTGGATCATATTGCTTAAAGCCTCATCCACCTGCTTCTTGGCAGTTTTCAGGTCCGCAATTTCCTGTAGGAGCTTAAGGCGCTCCGCGTCAAACAGTTTCCGGGCCTCCTCCCGGGCCTCAATGGTGAGCGCTGTCCTTACTTTGTCGCTGCTGCCATCCCGCAGGGCGCACAGAGCCGACTTGAGCCTCTGGATCTCCCCATCCCGAACCTTCACTGTCCTTGACATTTCTTGCTCGTGCTGCTTGATGAGATTCTCCCTCACAGCCTGCAGCTCCTTCATCTTCTCCTCGTGGAGCTTGGCTTTGAGTTCTGTCACCAGGACCGTGTGCTTGCGCTGTTCCAACTCACGAATCCTCTTTGCTTCTTGAGTCTTCTCTCTTTCAAGCTTAGATACCTAAAGGCAGAAAGGTGAAAGGATACAAGAGATGAGCCTCAAAGGAGAGGGGTCCAAGGCAGGATCTGCAGACTAGGCCCCTGTGATTTCCCAAGTCCTTACCTCTTTTCAAATGCCAGGACACTGTGGGCTCAGAGGGAAGGGAACCTCAGGTTTTAAAGCTGGGAATACAGTGTGCAAAAGGAGGAAATACCTAAGGATGCTTATATTATTGGTTCAGAGAAGTATTTCATGTGCTGGGGCCTTTCTAGTCAAGGTGTAGTCTGCAGACAAGTAGCACAAGTATCACCCAGAAGCTCGTCAGAAGTGCAGAATCTAGGGCTCCTTCCAGATCTATGAATTAGAATGTGCATTTTACCAAATCCCCAGGTGGCTGGTATACACAGGGAAATTATGAAGTGGTGCTATAATGGTTTTCGCCTTGGTAGAGAGGAGTTCAAAGCAGACCACCCAGAGAGCTTTTTGGACCACACATCTCTAGCTAGGTCCAACTGACACATGTGGGTGTCTCACGACAGTTCATAGAACATTATGACCAGACTAAGAAATTATGGCAGTTGCAGCTTAAAAAAGCCTTGGGATTCCTGTTCTACCGTCTTCTTCCCCTAACTCATGCCTGCTGCCTTTGTTCCTCTTCATCATGTCCATGCACATATACACATACCCCAACCTGGAAAAGGGGAAGAATCAGGCAGCCACCGGGGTCACATCTAGTTGACTGAGACTGAGTCTCTGCATTTGTAAAATTGGAAGGCTTCATAAAATCATTGTTAAGAGGCTTTTCAGCTGAAAAATATTAAGAGTCAAACTCCTTATTGAAATCACTGTAATGATAATGTAGTGTCTGAGATTTTACTTACCTTCTCAGTTTATTTACCTTCAGCTAGAACAGATTTTTTTAAAGTCCAGATGACATTTGATGAATATTTTACTTTAAAGACATAGCAATTGTTCCCACGTCGGCTACTCTAAAAGAACTCAGGGCTCAAGGAGACTTGGCAAAGGAAGCAGCCAGGCACCTTCAAACGTGTGTCCTTCCATCTTGCCTCCAGCTTAGACCAGAGTCCCTTCCTGGATGCCTCTTATCACACACGCACCAGAGCTGGAGTGTCCAACACGGTGGCCACCGGCCACACTGAGCACTTGGAATATTGCAAGTCTGAAGACTTAGTCTAAGTGTAAAATACATGCCAGATTTCAAAGACTTAGTGTAAAGTAAAGAATGTAAAATATTTCATGAAAAAGTTTTATATTAATTACATATTAAAATTACAATATTGGGAAAATTAAGTTAAATAAAGTATAGTATTAAAACTAATCCTTTGTACTTTCAAAATTCTTGTTGCAAGAAATTTTAACATCACATCTATATGGCTTGCACTGCAGCTCATATCATATATTTTTCTCAGGCAGCACTGCCCCAGGGTTCTTGGAGGTTCACTTAATGAACCCAGCTGTCCCCACATGCTGGTGACATTCTCTGAGGAAAGCCTTGTTCTGATTTGACTGATGTGCCTGCCCAAATGTCACCCAGGGCTCCTTTACACTGTGGCATCAACTTCTTAACACTTTGCTTCACCTTTCGGGCTCTCAGCAGATTTGGTTGGACATCCAGCTCTGGAATCTTCCTCTTGAGGGACGGGGAGAATGCCATTGTGTACACACGCCTTGCTTTTCTAGACCCATGTGCCTGCAGACTCCCCTTCCTGACCGGCCCTTCCCTCCTTGGGGAATCCTCTCATTTTACTTGGCTCGGCTAGAGACACCCTCTGTGGTCAGGCCGCCCTTGCTCGCCGAGGACAAAGCTCATTTCTCCTGCCTTTGTCTTCTAAGTGTACTTTGTTAACACCTCCTTACTTGTCCTGTCCACATTTTGCTTTACGCTATGTTTTTTTGTACACTTGTCTGTTCTCACCCCCTCCTCTCCTATCTCTACGCAGACTGGAAACTCCTAGAAGGTGCCAATAAGCCTTGTGCATCTGTATCTACCCAATGGCTGCCAGCACAACACATTAGAAGAAGCCACAAAAAGTGTGTGGGAATAAAGAATGGATTCCAATATGTGTCCCTGGCTAGCCACCTAATGGGAGGCAAGAAGAGTATGTCCTATCATACAGTTTAGAGAATACAAGCTTCTAGGGTTACCCAAAGCAACCCCTCACCCACTCCTTCCCTGTATAAAGCAAGAATAAAACAAAACACCCCTAACATATAAGGATGCCTACTTGCTCTCTGCTTGATGTTTCTCTCAATGCTTCAATTAGAACCACCTAAATCTTAATCTCCATTTTTCTACAATGAACCGAAGTGGCTATCTTCTGACTCATGGGTAGACAAACTGCAGCCCATAGGCCAAAACTATTTTTGTAAATAAAGTTTTATTGGAACACAGCCATGTCTATTCATCTACCAATTGTCTGTGGTTGCTTTCAGGCTACAGTGGAGTTGAGTCATCTTAGAGAGATTGTCTTATAAAACCTGAGGTACTTACTATTTGTCCTCTACAGAAAAAAGTTGCTAATTCCTCAACTAGATGGAAAAGAAAACTCTTTGAAAAGGGGTTCTTATTTTTCACTGATTTAGAAACTGATAATTTACCTTCTATCTAGGACCTTGGGAATGTTAAGTTTAGCTCAAATAATAGGAAATTAGTCATCTTCCATTTCTGTAGAATGTTTTTACATTGGGTACTTGGAATAGCATCAGGACGACAAAGGCTGGTATCAAGTTACTACAGGACATTTTAGCTATTCTTCCTAAAATAATGAGAAATGCTAGTGAAATGGACGAAGGAGAAGAAATTCTGGGTTTGCATTTCAATTTCACCATCTGCTATACCTAGGAAAGTTGCTTTATCCTTCTGAGGATCTTCGATTATTCTTTTTAAAAAAACCTATAAAAGGGGTGCTTTTAGGGTTAAATTAGATAAGGCATGGGAAAATAGATTGAAATGTAATGTACTAAGAAATATAAGGTATTATTACTATTGGATATAAAAGACAATTAAAATCTAAAATTATTTAGTCAAATTCTCTGTAAGTACATTAGATTCTATCACTTTGTAATTTGTTTCTCTCAAATTATAAATACCAATCTTTCATGTGTAGACTGTAGAGATAAATTTTTTAAAGTCCATGAAAATATAGGTACATGGAAAATAAAGGCGTTAGAAAAGTAAGTTTACAGTTGTGAGTAGGAGAAACATAGAATTTATTCTTGCATTACTATTTATTATCATATTATTTATTTGTATTACTTGTCATTTTCTTGTTATTATTTTGTATCCTTACTCAGGTTTTCTCTTCTAGGTAATGAGGGCTAATAATTTATCCTACTTTAATACACCCATGTGTACTTCAGATTGCAGACAAAAACAAATGCAAGCAAACACTGGCTTTACTGCCCATCGCATAAATGAAACCATGGAACCCAAACAAAATTCAAAGGCACTGAATTACATCTGGCACTGATTTTGGTTGTCATGGAAACTGGTGGAGGGTTTGGTGGAATTTCTAGGTATGACTGCTTTTTCAAGCTCGAGAGGAGTGTTTTACTATAAAGGAGATACAAGGGCTGTGACTGCCATTTGGATTCAAAGAACCAATAGAACTTTGTGGTAAAATCATTTTCTGAGAATTATTTGCAGACCACATTGTAACAATAAGAAAATAGATCTTAATATCTTAGTGGGAATTGTAAGAATGAGTATACAAAAAGATCCATGTACAACTATGAAAAAGTATAAAAATGATAATGCGCTGAAGTAGAAGAACTGTTTAGTGGGAGAAAGAACCAATTGTGACTAGTGGAAATGTTTTACGGAGAAAAGTTCCAGCTGGATCACATACTAGCATTCATCAGAGTCTTGCTTTGAGTCAGGCACCTTTCTCTCCTAAAGACTGTACACAGGTCAGGACATGTAACCTCCTCACAGCATTGAGACATAGGTAGTGCTTGTTTCGTGTGAATTTCAGGTGAGAGAAGTGAAGAACATCTCCATGTCAGTGTGATGGAGAGAGGGTTGACCGGAGCCCTAGGTGGGTCAGGAGCCGGGTCTGCGTCAGAACCCAGACCTCTTTGTTCGCTCTGAAGCCTTGAGCGGGCAGGCTGCTTCACCTCTCAGCCTCCGTGTTCCTGTTTACAAACCGGGATGGGTGCTACCCTTCCCCTAGAGCTGTGAGGAGCAACTACATAATCTGCCAAAGTGTCAGGAAAGGCAGGGCCACCTGGGAGATGAACAATTATTGATCTATGGTAGATATTACAATATTAATTTTGATAACTATTGCTATGCAATCCTATATAAATGCCAACATACATATAAGTATCCATATTATCATGATAAGACTAATATCCGTATTATTGTGTTAAAACTGTAACAAGTATTTTCCTAACATAAATAGATGCTCAAAGGTAAAATTGGGTTTCCTCAGGATGGACTGAGTCCCCCGACATTGATGGCACCTAATCTTAACTTGGGAGCCACTTGGATGATGTGTACACAGAGGGAATGGGGTACGGGCTGGGACAGGGCAAGGGGGGGAGCCCTGAACAGGCTTTGAACAACACAGCTCCCAAATCCCTTCTCCTGAGAGGTTTTATGTGGGAAAAAAAAAGTCATTAGGAAAAGTTAATCCTAGTGAGGAAAGCTTATGTTATGACAGAAGGAAGGAAATTCCTGACTCCCTCACAAAGGCCTGTCCCCTCCTATCCAATTCCAGACTGGCCTTTGCAAAATGCCAGTGTAAATTCTGCCAAGATCAAGTCGGCTGTGATGTGAGCACTCACGTGACCTGAGAAATCTAGGATTAAAATTGGACAGTCCCGGCAAAGGTAAGGGAGGGCTGAGAGGTTATCAAGGCAAGACAAGCTAACGAAAGCATTGGCTCGGATTACAGGCATCGGATCTTGCGGGAGGTCTAAACTCACTAGGTGAGTTTGTCATGGGTACTACATAAATCTCAAACAGGAGAGGCGAAAAAGGGAAGGGGGCAGGTCAC